AGATGATCGAAGACAAGGAAGGAATGACCGGCCTTGAGGAATGCCGTAGATATAAGTACGTATAGGTGCCTATATCATACAGCGGCATACGTAAATAGCCCATGAGACTTGTATGGGTAAAACAGGTTTTGGTCAGACAGAGGTCCTTAGTATATTAAGGGACTAAGTTGAACTTTAAATGTACATCAGAAAAATAAAAGATTATAAATTTCTTTCTCTCTCTCTCACACACAGATTACTCAAGAGTCAAAACTTAGGATATTATTATGACGATAAGGCTTGGGACATATTATATAATCAAGAAGAAAGATGATTCACGCCTTAAATATAATGGTGGCTTCCTTGTATTTTCTAATTTAACATAAATGTTAAATAATTCATTATAAAATTAAGTCATGTAGTTTTTAAAATTCATATATTATATATTAGGTTTTTTATTATTATTGCCTTTGTAGGCAGACGAGCGTACGGCTCACGTGATGGTAAGTGGTTACCGTCGCCCATGGACTTCAGCAATGCCAGGAGCAGAGCCAAGCCGCTGCCTACTGCTCAATACTCTCCACAAGCCTCGTTTGAAGAAGGACATGTCATAGCGCTCGGGAAACACCGTGGAGGGGAGCTCATTCCATAGCCGGATGGNTTTTTTATTATTATTGCCTTTGTAGGCAGACGAGCGTACGGCTCACGTGATGGTAAGTGGTTACCGTCGCCCATGGACTTCAGCAATGCCAGGAGCAGAGCCAAGCCGCTGCCTACTGCTCAATACTCTCCACAAGCCTCGTTTGAAGAAGGACATGTCATAGCGCTCGGGAAACACCGTGGAGGGGAGCTCATTCCATAGCCGGATGGTACGTGGCAAAAAAGACATTTTATTTCATTATTTTAAAACATGGAAAGACATATCTTATAACAAGACTAGATACGAGACCTAAAACGAAACTTAATATATGTATGTGCAAATTATTTAAATGAGCGAATAACAATAATTCCGTGAATGTTTCAATTCAGTATTTCCTCATTGAATATGGTTAGGAATTCCGAATTATAATGCATATATTATTAATAAAGCCTATGTGACTTTAGGCGGGAGCACAAGGAACTAAGTTGTTTTATCTTGTTTTTTAGTGTTTCCTTAGGTTTAAATTTGTAATAATGGTGCTTTTTTAGTATCTGTTCCGTACCGTTTATTATCTGTGAAAGTGTAGAAGTGTAGAATATGAAATAAAGTTGCCAGACGTGGGATCTTGGGTTCCAAAAACTTCACCAAAGTTTCAGTAAATTTTCATCATTAAACTGAGACTATTTCACCTAATTTTATCATTTACTGGTGGTAGGACGTCTTGTGAGTCCACACGGGTATGTACCATCACCCTGCCTATTTCTGCCGTGAAGCAGTAATGCGTTTCGATTTGAAGGTCGGGACAGCCGTTGCGCTGTTAAAAGTGAGCTGTGAGACCTTACAACTCAAGTCTTAAGGTGGGTGGTGCATTTACGTTGTAGATGTCTATGGGCTCCGGTAACCACTCAAGATCAGGCCGTGAGCTCGTCCACCGAAACAAGCAACAAAAAATAAAAAAAATTGCAACTGATCTTATCTCGTTTCATTTCATTTTATTCCAATTGATTATCTAATATCAAATAAATCAGCTTCACTTCAAAAGACACCATAAGAAGCCGATTTTTTTCCTGAAAAAAGAAGACGAAGAATAAAAGCGAAAGAACAAAAAGAAAAATAAAAGTTTATAATTGGAACATTCCAGACTATATAAGATCTATAATAAACTTTTAATTGCATTTTTTGTTATTATTTCAAATAAAACACCAAGTTATTGGAGTCTCTTGTAAAAACTACTCTGAATTGGTCCGCTGTAAAAACAAAGTATTCTATTTTATTTTTTTCAATAATATACCAAATAATAACCTGCAAAAACGACATTTATAAAATAGTAGTATATTTTATAGTAGTTCAGTTGACAATTCTAAATAGAAATTAGTTGCAATAACTGTATATTTTTTTATTTCTGTCACCGCTGTTTTATTGTAATTCCATTTCACATTAATTCGAACTGCTTTTAAAATTCACGTTAAAGGAAGTTAAGTTTCTTTTCATGTATTCAAGTGATATTTTGGAATGTAGGTGAACAGAAGTCAAAAGAATATGAAAAAACTGTCATCTCGAAACTTAGGAGAGAAAAAAACATTAATAAATAACAACAATATCGTCGTTGTGGCGATGTCTTGCCTCGAAATATCCCTGCAGTTTCATTCAGACGGCTCTCATCAAAGAATTGACTCACCTTACTTAAGTATGATTCAGAGGTTGCGTGTTTTGTTCATTTCTCAATCCACGTGAATGTTTTTATTTCTGTATGACGCTCGTTTTGTAGCCATGACACGATGTTGTCCCATTCGTTTTAGTTATTTGAACTTTCCGGAATTTAAATTGTGTTTTTAAAAGTTTTGGTATTTATAAGTAAGTGTACTTCGATGACTAAATTGTTTTCTGTCAAACCTATCGGCCTTAACACAAGAAAATAATGAAGTAACAATTTTACGTAGTCCTATGTTTTGAGTTTGTATGCTAATAGGTCCAGAATGTTGATTTCAATCTGTGGTACACAGCTGTGATAATTTGATTTTTACTTTATTGTTGAACTATCAATAACGACAATTATTAACGATCATTAGTCATGAAGCATGTTATTAAATCTGTCCTAAATGTGTCACGAATATTTCTCACAGATATACGGCAGTGGATTAATGGTAAACGAATAAAAATTGTATCTAAAAACATATTGACACACACAACAAGTGAGCATTTAAAATTTAATGTATGTATAGCAAAGATTACCACGCACAGGCGGGTCATATGCCTCACTTAGTTACTTTATTTATCATTTAAACAACTGCAACGCAATTATAATATTACATTTTGTAATTGTTCATAAATTTACATTACAGTTACCTGCGATGTACAAGACTGTACCACCAAGGCGCATTTAATGAAATGCCTAATTAACTTAAAAATTGAGTAGGCAGAGGCGTCAATGTCCCGAGCAAAGAGCGTGACGAATAAAATGGGTTTCATTTTTTAATTTCAAAAATTAATTTGTGGTATGCTCAGTAATTAAAACAGAATAATTTCTTCACGTTCTGACGGTGCTTAGATGAAATATTAAACTGATTATTCTATGTACGGTGCATAGCCAGATCAAACATTATAAGTGTTGTACACGAAGCTATTAGGATCGAAATTTTGCTTATTTATTAAATGCTTATGTTCATCTGTTTCTTATAAAGTTTAAAATGTAATACGGAACATCACTAGAAATGTAGTAATTAATTACGTTTTTGAGTACGTCACGGAACTCTCTACATCTCTAATCTAGAGAGAAGTAGACATATTATTATTATGAAAATTCAGTATAACTACAGACAGATATCAATGTTGATACCAAAGGGCGTCTCTAGTTCAGGAAGAGCTGTATATTTATAAGAATATAAATAAATTATTCAGGATATAAATTTTGTCAATCAATAAAATGTACATATTACGGTATTTAGAATATACAGTATTGAAAGGAAGTGTAATGGTATCAAAAAGGATGATGAAGGACCACTCGTACAGTAAACCTACTGTAGTTTAAACATTCATAATATCTTGATCACAGTGATTGATTTAACAACGCAGCCGCTGGGACTACAAACATGAAATTTTTATAGTTGATACTTTTAATGCTGTCACCATTTACTAGGGAAGTATCGACGTCGCCCAAAATACGTCATTTCGGATCCTCCCGATCCACTAACGGTGCTTTTAGACTTTTAGGTACCTCAATCACCGGTCATTGTTCTCGTCGAACCCGTCCGAGTAAATTAACCCACAGACACAGCCCACTGAGTTTCTCGTCGGATCTTCTCAGTGGGTCGCGGTTCTGATCCGGTGGTAGATTCCGCGAAGCATGGTTCTTGGTAGGGTTCGTGTTAGCAACGTCGTCAGGCTTGAGGCCCGCTGAAATAGCCTATCAACCTACCTAGCCTATCGGATCAGGGATAACAATTTTGCTCCTAAGAGGGTGACTCAGGGGTCGAACGTTTATATGGGAAGCTCGTCACTTTTAAAAGAAAGAATATATAATAATATTACAGCTCCTTATATAAAATTTACTAAAAACGACCGCAAATAATACATATGTATATATATACTTAGCATAGTGTATCTTCAGCAAAATATAGCGCAATCAGTCGGAGTGTCTCGGTAGTTATCCTTAAAATAAAGCAAACTGTCAGCTAGCAATCTGTAAGTACCGAAAAGACTGAGATTTAGAAGTCATGTCTCAAAGCATTTAATGCCCTACCCACCTTGACATTGACATCAGTAACGTAAATACGTTACTGATGTCTATGGGCTCTGGGAACCACTTAACGCCAGGTGGACCGTAAGCTCATCCGCCCATCTAGGCAATAAAAACAATCAAATTTTAATTTCATTATTTTAATTAGAACGTGTCAGACTCTTTAATTTCGAATATGATTTTATCGAATTTATCGCTGATATTATGTTTGCTTGTTCTAAATATATTGATTCCGAATCTATATAATGCAATGTTTAAGAATATGGTTACTTCGTACAAAAGATCACGGAATGTATACTAGTTTATAAACAGTCACTTAATCTCATATTTCAGAACGAGTTTCAATTTTAATACTAAATCAAACTGAATACTATTAGAAGTACGCATGTTATTTCTACAAATTCTTACGTAGGCCTATTTGATAATGGTGTTTTTTCCTAGAATTACATGAATACCGTCTAACTAGAATAGTTTAGCAGTTGTGCTTTGATACTGTAGTGTTTCTTTAAAAATAAGGTTCATAATAATCTGGTTCAAGAATTGTAAAATGGATCAATTTGATGTTTTGATGTTTATACAACCCCATTAGTAAATGTTAATATAAAATTAATATGCAATTGTAATAAATATACCAAAATTTGTTATTTAAGCGTTCCAATCTCCTCTCTGGATGTTGACGTAATAGTCTGGAAATAATTACGGAGTTGTTTGCGTTTTAAGTGATACACGGTTATGCTGTTTTAGTAAAGTCTCTAATTTAAGCCAACATGATTACTATTTTAATGCCTACAGTGTTCAGTTTCAATACGCCCCTCTTTTTTCCCTACCTTACCATTTTGTAGCTTCAGAGGCTATTCCAACTGGCTATACAAACGCGCCGTTTGGTAGGTGATCCGATGGGGCTCAACCTTGAAGGACTTGCTAATAATAATAAGAGCAGTGCTTCGCTGAATCTACCACCGGATTGGAATCGCGCCCACTGAGAAGATCCGGCCAGACTCTGTGGGTTATGTCTATGGGTTTCCCTTTTAACACACTGCGAGATTTACAAAGTTAGTAGGTACTGAGCATTGCTATTGTATTAGTACATATGCTAATATATGTACACGAATGAATATGTTTGAAGGGTGGGGCAGCCGTTGTAACTATACTTGAGACCTTAGAACTTATATCTCAAGGTGGGTGGCGCATTTACGTCGTAGATGTATATGAGCTCTAGTAACCACTTAACACCAAGTGGACTGCTCAAAGCAATAAAAAAAAGGCGTTAGAACGGAGGCCCAATCAGTACCACCTTAGGTAAACGTTGGAAAACATTATTCTGCTAATCTAATTATCGTTTTAACAGTTTGGTAGTTTGCAAGCTCTCAGTGTGAAGGGCACGAAACTCAGGGTCAATGCATTTACTAAAGCTAATCATTTAAAGTTTTGGTAATGTGCAGTATAAAATTGATTGCAGAGAAATACATTGTAGAAAATAAAATAATAATTCGCTATCTTTATTTATTGTCTGGTTCTTTACGATATTATCTCTGGAACGGGAGGCAATGCTATCTATTTCGACACAATGTGAGGGTACAAAAGATTCATATAAACATGCTTGAATTATAATTATTAAATGACACTTGGATTGACAGATAATTGAGTCGTGACTTTTGGACAATTATTGGTAAATCAGAAAAACGAATTATTGACTTTGTATTCCATTGGCAGTCACAAAACTCTTCTGAACGATATCTTAGATAAATAACAGGTTAAGTATTAACCTTTATTTAATGCAGGTTTTGAACCGTATTCTTTGAAGGAGACGATTATATTCAAATCAATCTGTATTGACATATCAATAACATTTTTTTGTCCAAATGCACAGATTGCCACCTTTGATAATAGACGACTCAATTATTCAAACACAAAATATTGCCTAGTTGTCTCAATTTTACTATTTCGAGTTTCGTATATCATCATGCAGCCTTTTGCATTTAATGGAACTATTTCTAACAAAATATGCTTATATCAATAATTTTTCCAATGTTCAATATACGCACGTAATAGGTAACCGGAGACCAACAACAAAACAAAATGAAAAATAGTCACAAGGCAGGCTAATTGAATTTAAAAGGATCATCCAAACATTAATTTTGCGATAAGTTAATGCATTATGTTTAAACTTCTAAATAAAATCAAAGAATCGTAATATTTTTTAACACCAATTACAATGCATATGTATATTATGTATATATGTATTCGGCTAATCGTTCTATTTTATTCGTACGTTACATGGTTCAGTTACATAATATCGACCGGTAATTACCTCGATATTATTAAAATAGTGCTGCAAAATAGTGCCTACTTTATGGTTAGATCGTCGCTTATTTTGGCCCTGAATTACGTCGATTAAAATAATGGAACGCTTGCGCGCCAAAATTATAGCTCTATGATTCCCTATTACATTTAAAACCCTTATAACACTACGAACTATCAAATTGACAGAACGTTAAATGGGACAATGTTCTTCTGGAGAACCTTCAACAGTTACACATTGTGACCGCATCACAAGACCGTCGGCGGATGTTCTTTCAATTGATTCCGTAGATAGCGATCGATCGCCCGTGATCAGGGGAAATGTAGCAGTAATTCAATGGAGTGTTTCTGATCAATACAATCCCTATTTGGGTTTAATTAACCACGGGTGTTCACGTCAAATGTCTGTAGCGTACATTTTATTAGACATCTTCGAAACTTTCATTGAACAGTTTAGTTACTAAGCAATCTATGAGGTCATGAAAATGCAGTGAGTTCGTTCACATCGAACGATCGTGTCACTTACGAAATTATTGTCCGCTTGCATGAGATTATTTAAACTTAAATCATTTTAGACAAGCACCTGAAAAAAACATGACGTACACAAATTAAAAATTGATAGTTTATCCATTGTGCTAGAGATTATAAATAAATTTTGAACGTAATTAAAACAACAAGTTTTTAAAACGAAATTTTATTTGAAACTTATACTATCGAGAGATAGATAATCTTACAGCCTATAGGATAGTTGCTTTTAAATGAAGAATTCTCATTTCGCTCAATCTTATTAATCTCAGATATGTAATAACTGAGAAATTTAAGAACAGTGTATAGGCTGGTATAGACAGTGAGCCAGACAAGCGTAGGATCGGGAGGGGGCTGCAGACAGCGCGGGGGCGAGGGAGGAGGCGAAGGCTGCGTTACGTCAGGCGCATCCGGGTTCGCGGCCGCAGCACGCGCCTCGCGACGTTGTCTGTGTTCCGCTGCCACTGTATACAGGTGGACTAATAGCATTCTAAATGAAAACTTTATTCTTAAAATAAGAATAATATTATTCAATATCAATACCAATCTTAATATATAATAGTCCCGTTTAAAATCGCGTCCTAATGTGCAGACAGACGGACGATTTATAGCAACTAGCTTTTCGTTTTTTTTTTAATCCACATTATACCTACCTAATTAATGAATTATTCAAACATATTACTGGACAGAGGTTCCTGTCTAGTCAATGCCGTATTAAATGTACATAATAAATAAATAAAACCGATATCGAAATATCAAGCAAACTTATTGTGGTGAAACGTTGACTCGAGACGTTGTTGAGCAAAATTCAATGCCTATAATAGTTTTATGAAGGCACGATGCCTGGTTTTGTCTGTTGCTAGGCCGTAGCGCGCCCGCAGAGCGTGCCTATCGGAAATTGCTTGGATTCTAGGCCAACACGGCAGTGAGCATCGCCGTCTCGCTTGCACGCTTATGAATCAACAAGCAACTACGAACTTGGACGAACTTGGACTTTATCTCTTATTCTAATTGAGTGAATAAAGTTATAGGTAAATTTAAGTAATACTGTAATTATGGCGCCCTGTTTGTGAATGGTAAAAGTTTTTACTTTACTTTTGATATTGTTCAGTCTTTTAATTAAATAACGAGGCTATTATACATATCTAACATATAAGTAATATATATAATAGTTGATTTTAAAGTCTACAAAATGAAATGAGTCTTATGCAATTGTGATATAGGCTCTACTGCATTCGTCGAGTTAATAAGCGAATAAGCTAAATGAGCGTGTTTATCCCAGTATCAAGAATACCTTTTTGGATTCTAAATGGATTCTATTCTAGAAAATGTTTGACGAAGATTGGAAATAAGAATAAGAATGTCTTCCGCATTGTAACTTGGGTTAAAAGTAACGATTCTGATCAAGAAATTTTATTTTAATAAATATACTTATTTTTACGAATTTTAAAGTTATTAATGATAAAAATTCTCAAGTTGTTACACTTCGATATACACCGAATTTTTCTCTGCCAAAGCTTACTAAAGGAAGCTCATGACTATTGGTAATTGTTTTGTTTTTATAAAGTAAAATAATAATAATAAAATAAATCAAAATATAATGAATAAATGCATTTAAATAAATATTTAAAAAAATGTATTTCTCAAAAGGTATCCCGAAGGAAGCGAAGGTTAATTTACAGAAACTTAAATATTTTGAACTGAACTATTTAGCTCTCTGAGCACAGAGAGATGCCAGCCGAGTGACTCAAACGTGGAGTGCATTGAACGTGGCCGACTCTACAGCGTCCTTTGCCGTAGACTTTATTTTTTTAGGTTAATCATTACTGTATTGCTTCGTTGTTTTTTATATCCCATAAACGTATCTCATTTATGAAGTTAATCACGTTATAAATATTGTTTTTGTATTATTGGAATTGATTGACAGAGCAATTCCAATAATACAAAATTAAGTAACAATTCGTAATTGTTAGCATTATTAAAAAAAAACATTTTAAAATTACCCTATTAAAACAGTATTCACATAAATAATTCATACCACACCATGTTTTATGTCCGCGTTCTAAATATTGTTTGCTGGCACCGGTCCAAGTGCGACAGTTGCATTTTTCGCTAATTCTCAACCGGTTACCGAAAGTTGCGCGGGCGCATAACGGCATGGCGGCGGGCGAGAGGCGCGGGATCTTGATCCGTGGGAAGAGTGAGTTCCGGCTGTGCCACTTGCACCACGCCTTTCACCGAGCAAGGTCGCCTCGCGACCGCGCCACTTTCTTTTATATAACAGCCGCGCGGCCGCCGACGGTATGCGGACGCCGACACCCGAATTTATGAGTATGCTGGTGACGTCACGCTCGAGGTGACTCACGGAACTGCCTCCAAAGCCCATTATCATATTTAAATGGCCTATAGATAAATGCGCTCGTGGTATCATATCGTATAAAATTGATAGTTGACAAAATAATAATGTATTTATCACTAAAATTCTTGGATTACATAAGTATTTAGGAATTTGCAAAGGCATTAAATATTACTTTTTTTTTAAATACTAACTACTAATTTTNTCGAGGTGACTCACGGAACTGCCTCCAAAGCCCATTATCATATTTAAATGGCCTATAGATAAATGCGCTCGTGGTATCATATCGTATAAAATTGATAGTTGACAAAATAATAATGTATTTATCACTAAAATTCTTGGATTACATAAGTATTTAGGAATTTGCAAAGGCATTAAATATTACTTTTTTTTTAAATACTAACATGTTAGTTTGTATTTTTTTGTTGTGTAGACCGAGCTCCAGGACATCGATGAGTTAAGGCGCAGGAAAATAATGAATTATAAAATGTTATCTACCGGACTAAAAATGCCATTTTCATTGCTGTGTTGTTCTATTAATTGACTAAATATTTTTGTCTAAGCAATACTTGGTTCATTCAGGCTGAGCCGAAATAGTCTAAATATCGTTTCAATCTTCGAAAGTGAAGGGAGCATCCGGCTGTTACCGGAACTTGGTGCCTTGTGCGACTGTGCGGTGTTACATAATCGCGTTAATCAACCGTTCTGCCGTCACACCTTTCCACTAACCAACTGTGTAATTACAATACGTAAATTCCTAATATACATTCTCTAAAACGGTGACTAGCATATATTATAACAAATAAGAAAATAAGAATGGTTCTAATTAGGTTAAACGTGATAGCAATATGAGAGGACAATAAATGTGTCTAAAAATCCTTTTTTTTTAGTTTGGCAATAGACAGTTATAATTTTTATTTGAGAAACTTTTAAGTTGCACTTTACTCGATAATTATCTTGAGATGTTTTTCTTCTTTTTGGACTATGGCGATCAGAATTCAGTGTCCAGTGTCAAATATAAATTTAATTTAGTATTAATCTTTAATAATGCTGCCACTGGTTCCACTGTTATTGAGGCACGAACTATCAAATACTAGCCAAACGGATAGTTTTGTTCAGTCTTTAAATTAAAATCATGACTACGAACAATGAAATACCTATAAAACCTATCTACAGTGTGTATGATAACTAATTTTCAAAATCGTCAATGATTGTTTTTAACATCAATTCTTTTTTTTCATAATGACTTTTGGATAAAGGTGTTTTTTGCTGTCTTAAAGACATTTTCATCTTCAACAGGAAAGGTGGGCGAGCACGGGCTCAGCCTGAAGGGGTGGGATTTGTTCTTCTGATCTGTTCTTTGGATGCTGTTACCAGTAGTTTGCAGAAGCACTAAGACTAGATTAGTTTCAGATGAGGTTCCGTTAAAACGTTTCTAAGGTGTCGAAGATGACTGGCTACTGCATGAGTCTAATCAGGAGAGTCAATATAGCTATCGGCTTCTTGCGATGCCACTATTTCCCGCGTCGAGCTTATGTGGTATTCAACGATCTACTTTCTCATTTGAAAAATGAAAGGGAGCGGGAAAAACAGTTCATTAATTTTAATTTTAATCAATAGGTATAAAATGAATGAAAACAAATGGAATGAAACGAATACAAATCAGGGCGCTGAAATAATATCTCAGTAAATTGTGGCAACATATAAAGCCACATTAAATAATGATTTGTTGTTAATAGCTGATTCTATACATATTACTCATTAGGTATATTAATACGAGAAGGTTTTTATTTTTAATTTAGTTTCTACATAACAATTCAGCTATGTATAGTAAGCCATTTTGAATACCTAATATGATCATAAAAAATACACATACTATTGTATTATTTGTTCTGATAAACTAATGTCATCTAGTTATGAGTACCTCAATTTTTTTATTACAAGTGAGTGGACGAGCTCACGGCCCACTTGATGTTAAGTGATTACCGGCTCATAGACTGAAATGAAATATATTGTTTTAAATTCGTTAGTTAGCTTCGTTGAGATGATTTCTGGAAATATTGGACTTTTCCTAAAAACTGCAGATATCTTTATGTACTAAAGCATTGTTTGTACGATAGATTCATTATTATAAGTCATTAAAGATATTTTAGGATCTATCAGTACACAAAAAGGCAAATCATACTGTCGACTAATGGAAAGGATTCGAGGTTGGCGACATCATCGCCATCTAGTTTCTGGTGATGGTGTTCTAAAATATTTATTACTGTATCACAATGTTGTCGGTGTAAATATTATTTTTACCGTAAAGCAGTGTGAAGGGTGGAGCAGTGGATAAACCTTAAAATTGAGACTTCGACCTCATGTGTCCGCAGTGACACTATCTACAAATTTATTTTTTTGAAGATTTTATGGCCTGGTAACGAGACCTTTAAGTCGAGCCTTCTATTTTCTTCTTTTATTGTATTATAGTATGAAAAAGACATAAAACGAAATGAGATGATGTTTTGAAGACAGAAGAATTAATTTAAGTTCATCTTTAAGATCTTTAATCAATTGGGATGAAATTAAATGAAACGGGGTGCGATCATATAAGATGAAATAAGTTCTCAGCAAAATGGTATTATAATAGGTATTTACTGAGTTTTTTCAGTGGACTATTTGGAAGAAACTGAGAAGTTACTTGCAGCGGCTTTGTTTCATTTTCCACATTTACGCACTTTTATAGATGTTACACAGTCAATAAACCACCGTTATTACATATTTCAATATGAGGAAAAACTAAACAAAATAAAACAATTGATACAACTTCTCCACTCGCATTTCCTCCAAAAAGCCATGTAAACAGACTCCGATAACCATTTATTTTTAAATGATAAGTGCATTATCTATAGTCGCGAGCTCGTTCGCCTTAACAGTACAACAAAATGGCTTAAATAACTAAAATCTATTTATCACAGAAATATATAAAATACATGATGAGAGGTGATAACTATTCCACATGAATGCTGGAAAGTGCAAGAGTAAGACCAGCCGTTGCTCATTAGAAGTACCTCAACGATAATTATTTGTATCGTATGCTTCTTACTAAGCTGTTGTTTACTAAATAATTTAAATTTTTATGAACTTGAATGGTATCTAAACCTAGAGTATACAGAATTCAAATATTACAAGTATTGAGTTTTTAAAATCGTAATATTTTAAAATTATTTTATTATTAAAATAATCAAAAATACGATTTTGTAAAGACATGTAATTAATTGGATAAAATATAATGTGATGAATTTGAATGATCTGAGAAAGTGTTTGTGTCGAACTCTCATGGCTATTTGAATTCATGCTCCTCTTCTGCTTAATTCGATCAGCACTGATGCTGCTTTATGTACGCGTTTCCGTTCGAACATACCTTTTTTTCAGGTACATACATATATATTGTAATTGAGCTGATATGTTGATTATTCTATTGCCAAATCGTATCATCATAAGGCACTATTTTTAGAAATTGGTTCCATAGCTGTCAACACAGTTCTGAAATGTCAATCTGTCATTATTTGTTATCTTTTAAACTGTCAACGTCAACGCTCATGATTTTGGTGGTACCTACCTACCTAATACTTTAAAGAACTAAATTATACAAAGTGTTAAATAAATTCTGTTCTAAACTTCAGTGTGATGAGCGTCATATTGTTAAATACCAATATTGTGTAAATAGGAAGTATGTTTAATTACTTTTTGGTGACAAATTTGTGTTAAACGAAATAACCTGGAAGTTGTGTTAAAAAAAAACAAGTCATATCGAGGGTAAACAGTGGCCTCACTTGTTATTTTTATTGACAGTAATTTTGCGATTTTGTAATAATGGACCCGGGGCCTGCCTTCCCCCGTAAGGTACCGAAAAGTCCTGGGGTAGAGCCTTTTGGAAATCCAAAATCATCTATCACGTACGTTATTTTTAAATTTGAAACAATTTGAGTACACATTTTGTACTTAGTTCTACTCAAGCTCATATTATTGTTTGTTTAGCTGTTCCAATGTTCCGGACGACTTATTCGAAGCTGCTACAGCCAAGAAGCATTTCAGTAAATTTGGTAGAGTTCAAAAGATCAGGCTTTTCCCAAAGAAACAGATGTGTATAGTAGAGTATGAAGAGCCCGTCTCGGCTGAGCGTGCTGTACTGAATGCTGGTGCATTTGATGGTTTTATGTTTGATGTGACTCGTTCAAAGCAGAGAACGTGAGTATTGTTATTAATTCACTTAAAATAAACTATATACTTGTAATTTTTTGTAAAAATGTATTTTAATACTATAAAATGTGTTAATAACATCTGTAGGAGACGCAAAAGCATGTTGCTTGATGATCCAGATTGGCTACCAGATCCTGAAGTAGAAAAGGAATTGTCAGCTTTGAGTGGCATGCCAGTCTATAGAGTTCCACGTCAAAAACGTATGTAAACTAACAAAGACTTTTGTTTACTAAAAATGTATCAACAGTTGATAGTTCAACAAATAATATTAGTTTTTTTAATACTTTAACTTGTCAAATGGGTAAAATCACACCATACATTAATAATAGTACTAAATATTTTGCAGCAATGGATATTGAAAATTCATCAGTGTCAATCAAGTTGCCAAAAAGTCCTTTGAAAATCAACAAGAGTACTATGAAGTCCAAAAAAAATTTAGTTGTAAAAAAGACTATTGTTCCAAAGGTCCCTAGACAGTCAGTTGAAACTACTACAGCGTAAGTTTTATGCTCAGAGTATTTATTCATCATAATTAGTGAATTACAGATTGTGATGCATGCATGTTAATTAAGTAAGCACCATGTGCTACTTGATTCTGCCAATGTAGCTATAATACTGTAGATATATAACCAAGGGGTAGTCCTTCCACCGAGCAGGTGATATTGCTTAGTAGATCGACGGTCCCAATGTCATTGTTCGGAACTTGTATACATCTCTCAAATATCTTGTGTTGTTGTATGATGACTACCAGCCACAAATTTGTAAGATAAAATATATTATCTACAATTATCTACCTTGTTGCCCACTTACCTCATAAGTGTGTATATTTTTATCTCTTCCTCAGCCTTAGATGAAATTAGGGTGTGTAATTATATTTCTAGTATTTTTGAAATTCTTTTTCTCTGCTTATATCAATAAATTAAGCCTGCCATTACCCATATATGGATAATATGAATGACTTGAGTCATGCTCAAAGCTGTCTACTTAGTAGGCTGTGTAAGCTTTATGTTAAGCAAAAATAAGTATTTTTTTATTGGAGTAGATCTGCAAACATACTCATGGTCCACCTAAGATTGAATGGTTACTGGATAGCCCTCGGCTCTAATCAGTGCATTATTATATGAACAATCACACCTATCAGGTGATTGACTTTTCCAAAACTTTAGTAGACTACTGAATGTTAATTATATAATTAAAAACAAGCATATAATATCTTTTTTTATGATTTAACATGTATAGGATAATATTGTGTATTTTAAATGATTACTACACTATCTTAAAATATTTACACATAGTTCACAGATGGCCAGCGGAATAGAATCACCAATATTAGTGTCATCTACACAAACAAGTATGAGTACATTTGAAGCGGCTGCCGAATTACACCAGTTGCGTTCAAGAACATCATTAACTCCTGATGAGAAATGGAGAACTTTAGATGCAAGGGACAGGTATCTTGTCGAAAAAATTCATTGAGTTGTTATGATAGATTCATTTTTAACACACACATTTTGGTTTTTTTTCCTCATTAATTTACATCAAGTATTCATTTATAGAGTCCTCAGAGCATGGGGCGGTGCAGGTTCACGTCTCAAGGTTGGTGGTGCCACTATTGGAACTTGTCCGGATATGTGTCCAGAAAAAGAGCTATTGCATCGACAAGCCGAACATCAGGTAATCAAAGACTATTTGTATTGTTTCTTACAGCGGAATGATAATCTATTCATGAAGTGTGTGAAAGTTTTGTTTGTTTGTTGTTGTTTGTTGTAGTTCTAGGGTACCCTGCTGCTATATAGGACCCTTATAAGCTGTCTCCACTTGACCCTGTCTTGTGATTGCCCTTGACATTACTCCAGGACATTCTGGCAGTCCTCATATCGCCCTCTATGGTGTGTCGCCAAGCGTGTACAGGACGACCAGGACTTCTCCTGCCACGCAGCTGCCACTCAAACGCAATTGATGCTGCATTGACTTCACAATATATATTTTTTATAATAGTTTGCGCATTTTTTTACTTTATCTTTTCTCTCAAGATACATGTGTTTGTATTGTGCTGCTGTATACCACAATTAAATCATATATCATGTATTTAATTGTAGGTGATGACTTTGGAAACTGTGCTGGGTTCTGATGGGGAACTCGAGCCATGGCGCGCCGTGAAGCAATACAGTCGCAGTTCAGCCGACCAGGAGATACCGATGTGCTATGAACTGAGACCTGCTTCTGTCCTCATGAAGACTTGTTCGTATCTGCTGCACGAAATAGCAGACACCACGAGACAGGTATCATTCATAAATACACATGGACCGCTGACTATGAGGAACTGTAATATAATGTAGGATATCGCAAAATCACTAAAACAGAGGCGAAAAGAAACATATTTCTAATAATGCCTACAAAACAAGAAAATTCTGAAACGCAACGATACAGTACAATTTGTCCATAGTTTAAATATTTTGTAGTAACACAACAATGGATTCGTGTGTCATATTCTGCGCCTCATAATCATGAGACTAATAATAGTTTCTGACGGTCTTGGTACCAAAGTAATTTGCTCTGTAATCTGACTTTTCATTGCACTAGCAAGACCTGCGGCTGCATTGCATTGACAGGTGAACAAACTCATATGGATTCCCTTTTTTTTTTGAAGATTTTATAACCTGGATCATCTGTCTCTATATGTGGTACCGTATCCATATGTGTAGCCTAAACCTAAGATTAGATCGATGTGTTTCCATTTTTTGTGAATGTGAACTGAAATGTGAAATGTACCATACGAGGTTTACGGTTTGGGGTATGCTGGCTATGTTATTTGTTCTGGCTGATTGAAAGATAAATAATTTTTTTTATTGCCTTTGTAGGCAGACGAGCATACGAACCAACTGATGGTGAGTGGTTACCGTCGTCCATAGACTACAGCAATGCCAGGGGCAGAGCCAAGCCGCTGCCTATCGCTAAATAAATTAATAAAAAAAATTCTTGCAGGTGTCATTGGCCGACTGGTTTCACTTCATGTGGGATCGTTTCCGTAGTATTCGCAAGGATATAACGCAGCAGGCACTGTGTTGTGCAGGTGAATAGACAATATACCAACTAATAATATAAGCATAAAAGTAAATCTGTCGGTATCGTTTTTACGCCAAAAACATTCTACCGACTATGACGAAGTTTGGTACCGATCACTCTATAGTGAACATTTGTTGTTTGAGACCGCGCACTGATGGTCACACCTCTTGTGAGTCCGTACGGGTAGGTACTACCACCCTGCCTATTTCTGCCGTGAAGCAGTAATGCGTTTCGGATTGAAGGGTGGGGCAGCCGTTGTAACTACACTGAGACCTTAGAACTCATATCTCAAGGTGGGTGGCGTCATTTACGTTGTAGATGTCTATGGGTTCCGATAACTGCTTTACACCAGGTGGGCTGTGAGGTCGTCCATGCATCTATGCAATAAATAAAAAAAGGCATGTCGGCAGGCATGTCTTCTTCCCGGCCAGGTGGATCATTTAGAGACAGGAGACACAAAGACAGGGTTCAGTAGTGTAAATTAACAGAGGTCTAAGTCCAGCAGTGTATGACTGTGGGTCGATGATGATGATGACCTTATCTTGGAACCCGAAGATATCGCTCGACATCAACTACGCTTTAGAGGCGTTAGGCGGGTTATGTCGGAGTTGTGCCAACTAAAACCCGATAGCTCAACAACGCGTTCGAATCACGGGTGAGATGGAAATAACAAAGTGTTGTTAATATTTTCAGATTCCATACGTCTCGTCGAGATGTGTGCCCGATTTCACGCTCACTGCGCGGCTCGCCTCGCAGACCTCGAGTACACGCAGTTTGATCAGAAATTGAACACCGACAACCTCACAAAGTGTCTCCAGACTCTGAAGCACATGTACGCGGACGTGGGACCGGAGCAAAAACCCAACGAAGCCGAATTTCGGGGATATATAGCACTTTTGAATCTCGGCGATGCCAACTTTTGGTGGGAGGTTAGTTGAAATTACTAGTGTTAATTGAAGACATGAGTGGATGAAGGGGATATGATACAATTTGTTAATTTTGAGAAAACAGACAACAAACTTTTGTTACTTGTACTTTTTCTTCATTCATAAATCCTTCGTCACATGCAATTTCTAAAAATAGCCTTTAAACCAGGGTTGTTAAGGTCTAATATGGTTTGTAGGCACACAACACCTTCATTCGATGTAAAAACTCAAAAATCTTAAAAATTGTACTTAACCGCTTCATCCACTCATGTCTTCAATGATCGAACTGTCTGTTTAATGGTCAATACATCTATTATTGTACTTTATATAGGTAGGTAAACAGATATTCTTAAGAAAACACAAAACGTAGCTATGAAGGTTCAATTAATCCAATATTAAAGATGAATAAATTTAAATAAAAGGTAAAAAAAAAATTTTTTTTTCTGTTTTAAACGTTGTTATTAATCAATGCTCAACGTTTGTTTTGAACCCAAATTACGTTATACGTAATGCGTTGAGTCTTGTAAAGTATATTTTGTAGTAAAGTTAGTAAAGTTGTATACGCGGCTGTTTTGAATGATAAGACCGGTACGGTTTCCTTTTGGGATCCACGAGTTTGTAAGCAGTTACGTATGTATAAAATATATAATATAATTTAAACTAAATTTATTTGTTACAGATCAAGCAACTTCCGGACGAGATACAAAAATCGGAACCTATAGTTTTGGCGATAAAAATATTTAATTGCTTAGATAATAATAACTATGTAAGATTCTTTCGACTAGTGAGTGAGAAGGCGACATACCTGCAAGCGTGTATTCTACTTCGATATTTCAATGACGTCCGCGCCCGAGCCTTGGCCAGGATTGTCAAAGCCTACGCTCCAAGAGGTGGCTCTCGGTTTCCGGCGAGCGACCTCATGAACGCACTCGCCTTCGAGTCCTTAGAACAAATGGGATCCTTCATAAGTCACTATGGCTTGAGATTTTCTAAATCGGATGATGTAGAATTCTCAATAATACTCGACAGACATCAGTTTATTGAAGACAGCGATCCTTATGCGATCGAACGCGCTGTTGAATTGATCGAGAGTAAAAGACAAAGTTCCGTGTGCGAAGTTATTGCTGGAGGGCACATACTGAAGCAAGATTATAAAAATCACGTGCTCAACACAAGTTTTTACTCGGACGGAAAATTAAAAGAGTCCGCTCTTATTGCCGAAGACCAAGGGTATAATACTGTTAACGATAGCAATAAAGATGTACAAGCATTAAAAGCTGAAATTCAGAGGCTCGCCCAAACAGATAAAACTTTTGTAAACACGGCTAAAGTGAATTTATTAGTTAAACCTGAAGTGAAGACGCCGTCCAGTTCACCATCCAAAGTTGTGCCTGAAATGACGAAAGGCCGTCAGTTATTTAGCTTCAAACCGGCGATACCCGTAGCACCAACAGAAATAATCAAACAGTCGCCAGAGAAGATTTTTTCTTGCGATTCACAAAATGTATTTTCTTTTTCGAAACCGCAAAACACTGTCGATTCAAATATTCGAACAGATGCTGTAAGCAAATTCAAAGTGCAACATGGAAGAAGTTCATTCGAAGTCAAAAGCAGTTCGCCAGAGAAATCAAATGCAACATACATTCGTGCAAGTAATAGCAATACTAGTGTTTTCCAGAAGGTTAATGAAAAGGTAGATCCATCCCAAAATTCACGAAGTTTGTTCAGTACTGTCAATGCCGAAATAAAGACAAAACCTAAAACTCTACCAGTTAGCGATAATATATTTGCCAAAGCAATGACTAACAAAACAAAGGAAAACATTGCGGACTCGATATTTCAAAACAAAAATACTACTANAAGTAATAGCAATACTAGTGTTTTCCAGAAGGTTAATGAAAAGGTAGATCCATCCCAAAATTCACGAAGTTTGTTCAGTACTGTCAATGCCGAAATAAAGACAAAACCTAAAACTCTACCAGTTAGCGATAATATATTTGCCAAAGCAATGACTAACAAAACAAAGGAAAACATTGCGGACTCGATATTTCAAAACAAAAATACTACTATTGGAAAAGATAATATATTTACGAAAAATGCTACTCACTTCACCAAATTTAATGAAAATACAGCAGGTAACAGTATTTTTGCAAAGCCGGAGAAGGTAGACGAGTCGGATGCCAGGTGTCAGAATATATTTGGCGGTTTTGGCAAAACAGACAAGAGCATATTTTCGAAACCGCATGTTTTAGATGGTGGTTCATTTAACAAATTGAACGGAGAAGATAAATCAATAAATAAATTATCGCCCGGCACTCTTTTTAAAAGCGCAACAACTGCCGTACCTCCCAATGAAACAGATAAAACCTACTCCATATTTCATAGTAAAAATAGAGCACAAACTGTAGCTGATAACATATTGAATTCTCTGAGCAATGTACAAAAGGGGGAAATTTATGACTTCAATCAAAATGACGACGAGGCAAAAAAATTAGAAGAAGTGGAACGAATTAGACAAGAGCATCTTAGGCAAGAGGAAGAAAAGCGTCAACAACAATTAAAACGTCAAGCAGAAGAACAAGAATTGCGGGATCGAGAATATCAAAGGCAAATAGAATTAGAGGTGCTCAAAGAAAAACGAAAAATTGCAGCGGAAGCCCAACGAATGAAAGAAGAGATACGACGAAGGGAAGAGGAGGAACGGCGGATAGAAGAAGAAAAGAGAAAAAAGCTTGAAGAAGAAGAAAAGAAAGCTGAGCTAAAAAGGAAAGCCGAAGAAGAAAAACGTCGTTTTCTTGAAGCTGTAGATAAAGAGTCCAATGAACTTGTAGAATTATTAGTAAACGAAGTAGGAAATGAAACTGTAAAACAGCTAATGAAAGACGAAATCGACCGTCTGCAGCAACTTGTCAAATATGCTGGCACCGTGACTGAAGAAATCATGACAGAGCTATGTAATGAAATATGTAATTCCGAAATGAAAGCAGAAATGTTTTGGACCGACAAAATACGCCGAAAGTGGTTTAGTGTTTGGAGAAGACATTATCTCAGAAATTACAATCGACGTTGTCTCTTAGAAGACACACCCGTATGGCTAACGGAAAAAACATCTACAGAAGAAGCTTTGCTACTTAGGAGGTCAGTTGAGTCGGCAACGTTAAAGAACATGAATGCAATTCACAGAGGATATAAATTCATTGGTGAACTGAAGCAGACACCTCTCCCAGACCCATATAATATAGTCGAACTCATCCGATCTCCTCTGCTGAAACGTATGAAACAAATTAGTTATCCTTACGACAAATGCTTCTTTTGGAAAATAACAATGGTTAGCCCTGAGGAACCAAGCTGGTTGTATCGAAAAATAAATATAGAGAAATGGATAAGACACGCCTTCTCTGATGGAAAAAAACACGAATCTAGTAATCTAATACACGTTGGAAAATATACCTGGAATCATTTGATGGACTTTGCTATTTCGGTTGGCTTCATTGGTTCTGGGAAAAGTGATGTTGTAGAGGCAATTGAAGGTACTAATGGAATTTTAATTTACAGCACGGAAACTGATAAATATTTATTAAATAGAATTCAAGAAATAATAAAGCAAAAATATCCATATCATATTATTCCCGTTGCAGTTGTAATGCCAAGAACTAAAGACTCTTCAAAAAATTGTGACTTGGAAAAACTATTAACTGATTTTGTCAAAGACAAAGTAATATCCGCCTATAAATTGTTTCATGTGAATTCGAACAATCTACCAGACATGTTAAATTCATGTACAAAAAATGCATTAAAATGGCTTGCTAAGCATTACCCACCGACGCCGCCTTTAGAGATCGATTTGTTAAAATCTGTCTGCCAAAGATATCTTGGCAATGAAATATGGTGTAACTTTAGAATAGAAAAGGATAACAGAGTGAGTTCTGTTCTCAAAGATTTATCGAAACTCGTTAAATGTTATAACACCGCAATCGACAAATTAACAGAGGTGATTACAAATGAAGATAATTTTAACTATCCATCATTCGCCTTGGAATTCAAGAAGTATTTNTTGTTAAAATCTGTCTGCCAAAGATATCTTGGCAATGAAATATGGTGTAACTTTAGAATAGAAAAGGATAACAGAGTGAGTTCTGTTCTCAAAGATTTATCGAAACTCGTTAAATGTTATAACACCGCAATCGACAAATTAACAGAGGTGATTACAAATGAAGATAATTTTAACTATCCATCATTCGCCTTGGAATTCAAGAAGTATTTGGATGACAATTCTCCATACCCAAAACCTTATGAATTCATCTCAAGCAGTGTCAAAAATGATGAAAACAATATGGCCATAAAACATTTAATGTCTGATCTGAAATTAGCAGAGCCAACTTTTATGTTCAATCCTGTGGATGTTGAAAATATGCAGTATCAAATTCGAACTTACTGCAAACAAATTGGTTGGCTCGAAAATTCCGATGAAATTGTGTGCAAAGTAATAACAGTCCTACCTAATGAACTCACCGATTTGAATATGTCATGTGAGAATTTTAAAAAATACTTTATGAATTATAATTTGATAGATATGCTGAACGTAATTGTGTATGAAAAAATTAATAGCTTAAAAAATTTCGGCAATAGATATGCTATTTATAAGCCTTCATTACTAGAGGAATTTCGCACTTTAAATTGGTTACTTGAAAATAAACTTCTATTTGAAATAAAACATAAAGCTATAAACTATGAGGATGAAGATGAAATAGAGTGTTTTATTTTAGCTAAACGCCGAAAATTACATATTGATTCTCTTGAAAATCTCGTGCTGGATGACAAAGACAGTACTATGGTTGAAGAAAATATTACAAATGCTGAGGTTGGCATTTCAAAGTATAGAAATTGTACTGAAGCTGTCAAACAGCTTGAAATGCAACTCGAAGAGGGCAGGCAAAAATCAATTGAATTTGAGAATATGCTCCAAGCAGCTCTCGCAAATGTTTAAGTGTGGATACATAAGTCTAATTTTTTGCATGAAAATTCTGATAATTTAATTAGTTAACAAATAAAAAATGATTTGTTTTGTTATCGACTTTTATTTTTTCACACAATAAATTCTCATAGACACTATATTTAGTTTCATGATATTATTGAGGTTGAACAACTTTCAAACATGCATCAACAAATTCTGTGAATATGGGTTCTTGCATATATTCTTGAACTAACTCATCAGGATTTGCAGAAGAATCAAGCAGCTCTAATATTTCTCTCACATGGGGATTTTCTAGACATTTCTTAACTTCTGTTGAATTTTCTGAAAAATAAACAATTCTTTTAGTGACTACATCCCTTAGGCTATGTGGTGTTGGCCTAGAGTAGCACCATCCCTGCTTTTCCTTTGGGTGCCATTAAAGGGATTTACTGGAGTTTTATTTATTTATTGCCCTTGTATGCAGATGAGCATATGGCCTACCTGATAATGAGTGATAATGAGTTACTGTCGCCCATGGACTTCAGCCTACAATCAAGTACTCTCCACAAGCCTGGTTTAAAGAAGGATATGTCATAGCGTTCGGGAAACACCATGGAGGGGAGCTCATTCCAAAGCTCAATAGTATGTGGCAAAAAAGATCTTTGGAAACGCACTGTGGATGAACGCAGTGACTCCAGGTAGCATGGATGAACTCTACTCCGTTGGCGGGCGGTGCGATGGTAACGAGATGATGGTATCATCTCAAACAATACCTCAGAGAACTCCCCATGGAATAGCACAAAATACAGAGGAAACTGAAGTCCCAGAGGCTCCAAACGATCTATGAGAATAGGATTATCGACAATCCAAACGGCCCTCTTCTGTATGGAGTCCAATAGAAGTAGTTGCTATTTGGGAGCCCCGGCCTAGAGATGGGAGCAGTACTCCATACGAGGCTGGACGTGTGCTTTATAAAGCAAAAGTTTTTGTTCAGGTGTGAAATACTGCTTAGCTCTGTTGAGGATTCCCAGCATTTTGGACGCCAACTTGGCATTCCCTTCCAAATGTCTCCAAAATTGGACATAGCTTGAAATGTCGACCCCAAGTATCCCGAGTACCAAGTACTCTCGGAAGGATGCAGGGACACTCCTTGGAATTGAAGTGCCATAACAAAAGGGTCCTTCTTCACAGTGAAGATGCAAACTTGTGTCTTTAACGGATTGAATTGAACAAAGTATGCAGCAGCATTCTCTGATTATTTTATCAGCATGCCAATGCCATGGTAGTGGGGCATACTTGTAAACAAAGCTCACCTAGTTACCATCCTGCTGCCTATTCTTGTATAGAAGCAGTCATGTGTTCTTGAATGAAGGGTGGGATATCCATTATATGACAAAATTGAGATTTTAACCTAATATCTAAAGAGAGTAGTGAAATATACACTGTATTCTGCAGGACCTAGGAAACAGTTTTACAAGGCCAAAACATACAAGTCAAGAAGATTTCTTAGGATTTACTTAACTATTCTTTATAACTATTGTTGTATAAATTTGCAAACTGTTCTTCAAATAATCAATTTTGAGGTGAAAACTATAAAAAAATACTGATCTTACACAGTGGTCACATAGGTAAGTACTGAAAACTAAATAGGTGCTTAGAAAATAGTTTCAGTTTATAAAGCCAGAAGATATATTGCAATCAACAAGGTCAATTATTTGGAAAGAGTTGTTATTAGGAGTTTAAAGTTGTTACTATAACTGCGTGAAACAATTAATCATTTTTTTTATAACATAAAACTGCCTTCTACTTGTTTGAAGGAAAAGTAAAGATCTAAACCACATTATTCCTAGAGAAAAAAAAAACTGTATTCAAATTGGATCAAAAGAACTACGGTAGATTTCTAAATTAGTCGTAACTATTTTACTAACACAACATTATCATATAATATACACACAGGGTACCTAATAAATTGAGTCTATCCAATGGTACCGTATCTTCTGTAGGGTATAAATTTTCAACAGCTTGCTTTACGCCTATTGTTTGTTTCGGCGGGGACGGTGGTTTGATACAAGGATTTTGTTTGTGTAATTTATAACAGGCGACTGAACAGCTGAAAATGGTTATAATAATATTATAATGGTACCTTATACATCTATTTAATTTAAATCTGTCTAATATTAAGTGTTACTTACTAAGGTACCATGCACGTGGGACACTTATATTTAGGATCTGATCTACAAGTTCCACAATTCATTTCGGAATGGGTAGGTTGGAACTTGATAGGGAAATTTGTGTACTTACTGTCACTTAATTAAGCGAGTTTATAGTTATTTTCATAATATATTTTTAGCCTATTTTTTAAGTGTTACATATTTATTTCGGTTATTCGGTATATTTTATGTGCCTAATTCGGTTTTATTTTTTGTTATTGTACTGTATTGTTATTAATGTCATTTTTTTGTCATTGATATCATTGATATCGTATTTTTTTATCCTTTATGGGCAAAAACATTGAAAGCCATACAGCCCAATCGTGTATAATAATCTAAAATATAAATCAAATAAACTATGTATTATATTTTTTGGAAGAGCCCGAAAAACCACATTTCGTTTTTTGTTTCCCATGGGACCCTGCCTATATTTGTCTTGAAGCAATGTTCCGACTTGACACTCGTTTTACAATATGAGGCTAGTTTTTATAATATTGTAAAAACGCTTTTACTTAGCTTAGACTTTTTCAGATATTTAAATTATTTTGTAATTTTATTTTATCATATATTTTCTTGTTTTTAGTTCTGTTTAGTTTAGGTCTGTGACTCGGTTTCAAGTCTTTTTTATTAATTTGATCACAGTTCTGTTTAATTACTTTTATTCCCAGATAGGAGTGAGCTTTGCACTGCTTTGATGGTTCACTGGTGATAACCTAATTACATTGGGAACGTCCTTTAAATTCGTTTTTTTTAATAATCAAATATTGCAGAAATTGAAAAATCTCAGTAGGTGTGTAACTGCATCGGAGCAGCATAATAATCGCGACTGAGGTTATTTGATAGCAACTGCCTGAACCCACCGAGAAAGGTCTAAGAGCTCAACAGCAGTTGCTACATACACGGGTACATTTACCGCTGAATTGTAATCGTAACCCATTGAGGTGCGACGCGAAATTCGGCTTTTCGTCAAGTTGGACTGTTGTCGAGTACGGTGACTGCTGCGTGAGTTAGTGCTTAGATTTCCAATCTGAATTTTCTATGCAAATTTGAATGATTAAAAATTTCAATAAAACACATTAGTAATTTTGTACTTTAATCACACTTAAATAAATATGTGCTTACTTATTTTGGTACTTCTATTTACTTAATATTTCAAGATTTTTAAACTTAACTATGAATCCTTTTTATACTGAACTTGATTTTTACGAATATACAATACTTTAAGTACCTCTTCAATACTTCAGTATACATGAAATATACAGATATGCGCTTCTGAATGTAGCTCTTATGTATGTCGACATTGTTTATAATAAGTTGTTATAGCAAAAACCAATATGAAGTTTGTATATTAATCTACCTATAATTAGCTAAAGATTTATCTATTTGGTAAGAAATTCATGGCAAACCGTGCATTCGTGTAAAACAAATACATTTAACACACACGACAATCATTAACTTTTCACTATTACGATATTCAACTAATCATAAGATTTAAAACCATTTCAATACACTTTTACCAATTTTTTGAGGATTTAGATGTTTCAAAATTAATTTCGTCATAGATAATTTTAATACAGAGCACCTAAATCAATGATTTTAATCTTAACAAGACGTATGCCTTTCTATCAAACTAAGTTCACATCAAACGAACAAAACACTACTATTGTTATAAATTACAATAAAGGTCAATGCTCTGAAACTTTTTCCAAGCAATAAATCCATAATATAATACATAAATTTTTAAACTTTACTTCAACTGCATAATTGCAATACTATTGAGAACTTTAAGTCAAACTTAAAAACTTATGTACCTATTAATATTTTTTATTTTNCATAATATAATACATAAATTTTTAAACTTTACTTCAACTGCATAATTGCAATACTATTGAGAACTTTAAGTCAAACTTAAAAACTTATGTACCTATTAATATTTTTTATTTTATGAATTTACTAAAATTCAGACATAGACAAAGTGTCATCATCATTCATCATTATTTCCTATTACCCTCTGCTGGGGTGTGGGGCTCGAATCAAATTTTTCCATTTATATCGGTCTTGGGCAGTCTGTTCTAACTCCTTCCACGTCATGCCCAAGACACCTAACTTCTGCTCCACCGAGCGACGCCAAGTTGTTCTAGGGTGGCCTCTCTTCCTTTTTCCAGACACTTTCCAGGTCAGTGCTCTCTTTGATAGATAAAATGTAGTAAATTTAATACGAGTTCATGTCTTGAGTTCGTGCCTTTCTACACGATAGAATTTTCCTCATAGTAGAAATCACATTGTATTAATAGATTCGGTAATTTTAACAAATAAACTCCCTCGGTTCTGTTTGATTATCAAGTACATTGTATTGAACTTGTAAAAATTAACAAAATTTGTTATTGTAGAATATTAAATGCAGGCGTTTATATCTGCCAAATCCGGCCAAACGTACGCACGAGCGGGCGCTGTTCGGGCAAACGAAATTCTATTCTGAATTTTTAGTGCGTCAGCCACAGATTATACACATAAGCGTCAGCGTGAGTTCTTTTACTTAGTTACGCTAATGATAAATTATTCAGTTGGATAATAAATGTATTTGTATCGTAATGTGATATTTGGGGCATAAATTATAGATCTTCGTGTAGGATGGGCTTGTTGTCGGAGATGTAGTACGTGGGGTCCGGTATATTGACGGCGCCGTCGGCGACTGCGAGCGACAGATAGCGCGTGCGGAGGTGATGCGCGGACGCTTTAGGCTGTCGCGACCGAGTGAATATACCTTTCCTGTTGCCGCCGACGCGGGTTATTGCTGCAATGAATTGTTATATTATTGTTATTATTATTTATGTAAAGAGAGCGGACTTCCTTTAGGGCCTGTCCGCACAGCGATACCTCACCGCGAGGTTTTTATTCTCGCGTATTAAAATCCGCGATCGGAATTACGCCCCAAACACGTCATTACTGATCCTCCCGATCCCTTAACGGTGCTTTTAGGTACCTCAAGCACCGGTCACCGTCCTCGTCGAAACCGTCGCAAGCGACGAAGGGCTCGACGAGTAAATTAACCCATAGACACAGCCAAGGGCGGATCCAGCTTTGGTGCCAGGAGGGGGTCACATAGTCATAGTCAAGTCAAGAACTTATAATTTAATTTTGATAACAATAGATACAAGTAAAAAGTAGGTATTTTATTAATGTACGTAAGTACTGTACTTAAAAATATTTATTCTTTATTGTACACTTGAAAAACTTAACACATAATAACTTGTACATATTTAAAAGCTTTTATTTTTAAAAGCATTAAAATCAATGTGGTTACGACGATACACTTGATTTCATTGTGTGAATTTATCTAAGATTTTATTAGGTTAGGTTAGTAACCTTAGGCTCTTCAATCTCTCTCGTCCAAAAAATATATATAAGTAGGTACATAATTCACGCAGGACTCTTTCTGTAAGTAGGTACCTAGCACCGTCGCAAGCGGGAATGCTACCAGGCTTGGGCTAGGGCAAAGGCCACTAAGGATGTAAACTCTGACTCACTCAAGAAGAAGTACAACTCTGCTTCCAGTTTCTTTAAGAGGCAAATTGCATTGGCAAAATCAAATTACGTTGGGAGAACTGGCGAGAGACTGGCACGCCTGCCATCTGGCTCTCGTGCGTTCTGGTCTCTCGCCAAGGCTGTCCAGGGTAATTTCTGTCGGTCGACGCTTCCACCTTTGCGCGGGGAGGATGGTTCATTGGCCTATTCCGCAAGGGAGAAAGCCGATCTTCTTGGCTCTATCTTTGCGGAAAACTCGACTCTTGACGACAGGGGGAACACTCCTCCGACCATCCCGAGGTGTGAAACCACAATGGCGGACGTCCACTTCACACAGTGTGCTGTGCGGAAAGCACTGTTCTCCCTGGATGTCAACAAGTCGAGTGGGCCCGATGGAATATCTCCTATTGTGCTGAAGGTGTGTGCTCCAGAGCTGGCACCGGTTTTAACGTGCTTATTCAGACACTCTTATGTCCTCAGCCTTGTCCTACATTCATGGAAGACGGCTCTAGTACACCCGATCCCTAAAAAAGGCGACCGCTCAGATCTGTCCAACTACAGGCCTATCGCTATCACCTCCTTACTCTCCAAAATTATGGAATCCGTAATCAACCGCCAGCTCATGGGCTACTTGGAAGAGCACCAGCTGATCAGAGACCGCCAATATGGCTTCCGCAACGGCGTTAGTTTGGACATTGCGAAAGCCTTCGATCGGGTTTGACATAAAGCCTTACTATCGAAGCTTCCTTCCTATGGGCTTCCTGAGAGACTTTGTAGGTGGATCGGCAGTTTCCTTGCGGAACGGAGAGTTAAAGTCGTCGTAGACGGCTCATGCTCGGACCCCCGGATCGTAAATGCTGGTGTTCCCCAAGGCTGCGTGTTATCCCCGACATTGTTCATTCTGCATATCAATGATTTGTTGCATACCAGTGGCATTCATTGCTATGCGGATGACAGTACCGTGGATGCACTGTATTTTGGCCGCAGCAATATCTCTCGGGATCACGTCGATGAGTGTCGGAACAAACTTGTGTCTGAAATCGAATCATCCCTAGTGAAGAGTTCCGATTGGGGGGGGACTAAATCTAGTCCAGTTTAACCCTTCTAAGACTCAAGTTTGCGCGTTCACCGCTAAAAAAGCCCCCTTTGTCGCATCGCCACTCTTCGGAAACACTCACCTTTGTGCCAAGCCGAACATTGGCATTCTGGGCGTAGACATTTCGAGTGTTGTCCAGTTTGGCGGTCATTTGGAGAGCAAGGCTAAAATGGCCTCCAAAAAACTCGGAGTACTCAACAGGGCTAAACAGTACTTCAAGCCGGCTCACCGCCTTAAACTGTATAAGGCGCAGGTGTGGCCTCACATGGAGTATTGTTGCCACCTTTGGGCCGGGGCTCCGGGTTATCAGCTATCTCCATTTGACCGAATCCAACGTAGGGCATCTCGGATTGTCGACGATCCTGAACTTGCCGATCGGCTAGATCCTTTGGCACTGCGTAGGGATCTATCTTCCCTATGCATACTTTACAGAATTTACAATGGGGAGTGTTCCTGAGGAGTTGTTCAATTTAATAGAAGCCGCTGATTTTCGCAACCGATCGTCTCGCCGATCGAAAACAGTTTTCTGCCACGCACAGTAAATCTCTGGAATTCGTTGCCATCAGCGGTCTTCCCCAACAACTGCGACATTGGGTTATTCAAGAAAAGAGCATATTCTTATCTGAAGGGTAGGCAACGCACTGGCGTAAGCGCTGGTGACCGTGGGCGGCGGTGAATCACTTACCATCAGGTGACCCGTCTTACTCGTTTGCCTCTTAGTTGTTATAATAAAAAAAAAGAAGAAGAATACTTATAAAGAACTAAGAATATATAAAGAACTAAGAATACTTATAAAGGTACACTTATAAGCACATTAAAGCTAGAAAGAAATTTTAGTTTTTTAACTTAGACCTATGTTATGATATGTTGAAGTTTAGTCGTTCCGATTCCGATTGAGGCTAGGATTCAATTTAAGGTTAGGCCTAGCTAGACGTTACGTAGTCGAAAAGCGCGCGCGAGTGCGGCGCGGTAAAATTCAAATTTTCGATGCGTTCGTTCCCAAATATTTGCCATCATACAAAGTTATTTTAATATATTAAATTAATTAAGGAGCAACAATATATTGTGTCCTAAAATCATTATGTTCAATATGTGGTCACCTAGGTCCTGGAACCAGCTCAGGGGGGGGTCATGACCTCATGACCCCCCCCCTGGATCCGCCCTTGGACACAGCCCACTGAGTTTCTCGCCGGATATTCTTAGTGAGTCGCGTTTCCGATCCGGTGGTAGATTCTGCGAAGCACTGCTCTTGCTAGGGTCAGTGTTAGCAACGCATACTGTTTGAGCTCTGTGAGCTCACTTACACGTTAGGGTGAAGCTGAAATAGCCTTTCAAGGCTATCAGTACAGGTAGGAAAAAAAACCGAACCAGAATGTTCCCGAATTTGAAGTAATACTAACTTTGCGCTGTTTTGAAATCCGCGAAATTCCATATGAACTCGCCAGCAAAGAAGCCGGTCTGTCTCAGCTTATCGAACGCTTTGAAATGTTCTGACATCAGCGCCACTTGATATTCTTCAGACCACACATATTCTGGAATCTGAAATTAAAATAAAAATCTTTCCTAGATCCTTAAACGTCAAACTGATTAGGTATCAACTCTCCAAGTTGAACTATACTTATACATATTATATACATACTATACTATACTTTTATTTATTTATTGCTTAGATGGGTGGACGAGCTCACAGCCCACCTGGTGTTAAGTGGTTACTGAAGCCCATAGACATCTACAACGTAAATGTGCCACCCACCTTGAGACATAAGTTCTAAGGTCTCAGTATAGTTACAACCACGGAATAGATAAATAAGGTTGGAATGGTAGGCGGGGCAAGCGTGCCACAGTTATGATCGAACAAACATAACTCGACCGATTCTTTCATTCACCGCGTTTAGTGCGCTTCGGAATACTTGGGCAAACAGATCTCCGCTTTATAGTGCCGTGTTGTGCAATTATAACTTGTAAAACAAAAAATCAGACCTCAAGTATAGAGCGAGGAGGTATATCTTTCGATCGGTAAGTCGAAATTACCATTTAATTACAATATTATTTGTCTAAAACATAAAAATATACTGAGCATTATGAAATTCCAAACATTAACAATATTATTGCAGCAAGTTATAAATAGCATACATTGCGCGATGTGTACTCGCCCAATGAACGCAATGACCAAGTCAGCTTCCAATGTACTACATGCATTGCGTTCTCTACACTTCAATCTTTGAAATTTCGGCCTTTGCCCTGATTGGCCGTGCAGTTTGTCGATAGTGAGGTGACCATGTGGTAAAATCATCGACAGAATTCTCGACTATATTTACATTTGACATGGATAATTTTTGCATTATTTTATATTTAATTAATGATACCTAGTATATTCTTAGTGAGACGTATTTTGAGTAAAATAAATATGTATTATTATTATTGAATTATTATCATTGAATTAAAGTGAAGGTATAATATAAAGGGACATGTAGACCTCTAATTTACGGGTATTTACTATATTGTCTAAGACGTATTAAAATCTAAGTAAAATGCTATTTGACTTATGCAGTAAATTAAAAATTTTAGGTTTCCTAAAGAACCTAACGCCAGGGAACAATGGATTGACGTGACAGGTAGAGGAAACTGGAGACAAAGACGAGTACTATTTGCTCTAAACATTTTACTGAAAATGATTTTACCATAAAAAAAAATCAGAATACACTTAGTTCTGAAAAATTCATTCGCAATTAATAGCAAGCGCCAACTGCTTAACAAATACGTTTTATTCCAGCGACAGTGACTATTTGTAATTAATAAAAGTAAAATAGTTTTTTTTTTTTAAATATTTATTTCATGTTTCATTTTCTCCATTCATTCATCAGATAATTTATTGATAAAGAATATCGATTTTATCAAGCACTAGCGTGTATGAACATTTTTATTGCCTTTTTGCGTGTGTGAGTGTGTATGCCTACGGGTGTTTTGTGCTAGTTTGCGAACGAATATCTGTCTTGAGATTTATGTGTGGGTGTTTTTGTTGTGTGCGAAATACTTGTAATCACAGTGTGTGTATGTGTGGAAATTAAAATAGTGGGGATGAAGCGGCGACACTGGTTCTAATACAAAATTAGAGCAAAGGCCTTTCCAACCTTATTTATCTATTCCGTGGTTACAACGACTGCCCTGCCCTTCAAACCGAAACGCATTACTCCTTCACGGCAGAAATAGGCAGGGTGGTGGTACCTACTCGCGCGGACTTACAAGAGGTCCTATCACCAGTAAGTACTATAACTATATATACATTGATAATACACTGTCTTGTACGAATGACACCTACTAATGAATGTTGTCATTTGGTTCGTTGGTTTTATTTACATAACGCTTTGAGCAAGAACAGTCGATAGATCGACTTTCTATTAGCGCGTACTTAAGTGCAGTGCGTTGGAATACTGACATTTGCTGCTTTTTGCATTTTGCGCAGTTTGTTTATAGATATTCTGATAGCTATTTCTTTGAATTTATTTAAGTTTTTTATAAGACACTTTTTCTATTCAATCCTTTAGCAATTTCTACAAAATAGGTGGAAATAAACTCATCCACTAAAAGGGTTCAATAATTTTAAACTACAGTTTCAAATGAAGCACATTCAGAACTATTTATTCTGTCGCCTTATTTCAACTCGAACATTTTAAGATGTTTTTTCATTAAATTATTTTTTAACCAAAAAGTTTTCATTTAATTTTAAGTATTCGATACCTAATATTTTTCGATGTGCTGTGTTCATTCTTAAGGTCTTAGTCGGAAAGGATGCCAGTGAAAAAGGATTAATATTTTTATTTAGATTTTTTAAGTGACAACTTCTTTAGAATCGTTGTGATTTCAAACCGGATGCAACGGAAAAAACGACAGGTAAGAGACACAAATACAAAAATGTGTAGGATGAAGCCAGCAAAGAATGAGACAGAAATATACATACTATTTAATACAGCGCCATCTGTGAGATTTTTTAATACTAACGTGTGTATGAAAGCTCTTGTAGTGAATTTTAATTTAGGATTATACGTGAAATTAAAATATCAATTCACAGAGGGCTACCTTACAATTATTTACTAATGACAAAATTTTACATATACTTAAGACGTTTAGGATAATTGTATTTTAATTTTGGAAGGTTTCACTTCTACCACGTGTGAATTGCACACATTTTGTTTTTTTGGGTAGCACGTAATGTAACACATCCCAAAAGCTATTGACATACGGGGTCAAAAGCCTCGCGTCGCGCAGAAGATGCCGGCGGCCTTTTCGCTTCTATTGCCGCTTAGAGAAATGCGAATTTATAAAAACGACATTAATTCACAAGTAGCGTGGTGGCGCGTAATCCGCTTCTGCATTAATGTATTTCATAATCTATTTAGCGTTCATAATAATTTTTTTATTGCTTAGATGGGTGGACAAGCTCACAGCCCATCTGTTGTTAAGTGGTTACTGAAGCCCATAGACATCTACAACGTAAATGCGCCACCCACCTTGAAATATAAGTTCTGAGGTATAGTTACAACGGCTTTACATCTTTCAAACCGAAACGCATTACTGCTTTACGACAGAAATAGGCGGGGTGGTGGTACCTACCCGTGTGGACTCACAAGAGGTCCTACCACCAGTAATTACGCAAATTATAATTTTGTCGGTTTGATTTTTATTACACGATGGAACTATTATGGATATTCCTTCACCGTAGAAGTCAATCGTGAACATTTGTTAAGTACGTATTTTTATTAGAAAAATTGGTACCCGCCCGCGGGATTCGAACACCGGTACATCGCAAGATACGAAGGCACCGGACGTCTTATCCTTTAGGCCACGGCGACTTATGGTATGGTTTGACGAGTGAATGAATTGCTTTTAGTAATTGATACAATAAAACTCACAAAGTGTAGGCCGGCAACAGTGTCAGCGCCATATTCGGTCATGATGACCGGCTTGTTGTGTCGCCGGTGGAACTCGGTGGCTTCTTCCACCACCTTACTGACGATGTAGTTCAAGTCGCCGGTGTTTTGGTACCAGCCGTTGTAACGGTTGAAGCAGATGACGTCTAAGTGTTGTCCCTGAGAATGAGTTATACTTAAGGAATTGGTACACGAAAATCTAACTGACCCACATACGTGGAAGAATAAATGAAGATTCCAATCAAATGTATCGAAAAGGATACCTTACATTTGTTTTTGCGTATTTACATAAACATAACTAACTATAAAGTGGTAAAGTAAGACATACTGCTCTATCGGTGTTGTAGTATTGCGAGATCGCGATGGTGACGGGTCTGGAGAGGTCCATGGACTTCACGTGTTTCACTACTTCACTGAAAATTAAATGACCATTAAAAAAGTTTGAAAACAAAAATACAAATTATATAAAATGTACGAAAAAAAAATTAGGTATTTCTGCCTTATTTTTTTTTTTTAAATATATTTGAAGAGTTTTCGAAACGATAATAAACCGTAAACAATATTTATTTCTATTTATTGTGTCATCAATATTTTTATTTGCTTTACAGCGAATGGATATAACACACCCCGTATACGAGCATAGTACTGTATGATTGGTAAGAACGGAACGTTAGAAAAGAGTGTGGAACGGAGCGTTAAGACGAGAGTGAGATAAAACGATAGTAAAGGTAAAAGAGAATGACAGAGAAAAGGAAGATGGCAAAGAAGGTTAAATGGGCCAGGCGTAAAAAAGGTGTCAATTATTTTTTTATTATTTTGGAAGAGTAAAAGTGCAACAGTGCAATAATTTTATTTTATATGGCATGGTCCCAATTCTACAGTACTATCACTGAACTCCAAGGATGATATGACCCTGTATCCATTTGTCTGCTCGTGTGACGTCACAGATATACATTGCTGCTTGAGTGACGTAAGGTAAATCTATATATTAATACGTGAAGAAAAAACTTCGTATCCCTTTTTACGAAAATTGCGCGGACGGAGGAGTATGAAATTTCCCACACTTATAGAAAATATAGAGAAGGAGTGCACGATGTAATTTTTTTTTTAAATTATGCCTTTAAAAATACATTAAATCAATCAAAAAAACATTACACCCACTACCGTGTATTTGACACACACACACGCATCCATACTATTTATTTATTGTCAATTGACGTCTGTGGTCATATTGAGGATAGATTAAATATTGTCTTTATTAATATTTTTCTATAGTGTAGTCTTGGCGAAATTTATGATTATAGAATAGTCTTTGAAAATAGAATCATCTTTTAATTTCAATTGATTATAGTCGAATTTCGACTACCGGGGCGACCACTAGTTAATATATTTTAGTTGGCTGTGAAGGCGAAGGAAACTTACGCGAAATAGGCATCGGCCTGTTGTTTGGCAGACCGCGGCTCGTTGGAGATGGACCACATGATGACGCTCGGGTGATTCTTGTCGCGTCTGATGAGCTCCGTCAGTGATTGTTTGTGCTTATTCAGTAGAGACTGCGTGAAAATGCTAAGGGAAAACGGACAAACAAGTATTTTTTGTGAACGTTAAATGAAGATTTTTCTTTTCTTTTTTTCTTTTTTTTTTAACCAGAAATGACAAAATATTTATTTTTCGCAATAATTAACCGATTTGAAAGAAATTAACAGATTTGAATTGGTATTAAATTATGGTAAAATTATTAACCATGTGTTTGATACCTTTTATAGGAAATTTATTGGATAAAGGCAATGCGAGACCGATCGTTATGGTGAATTTTGGGGAAGTCTATCTCCAGCATTGAACGTCTGTGCGCTTCCAAAAGCTTTTTTGATACGTCGTCGAGAGTTTTTATCGAGTTTCCCAAGAATGTACGAAATGATTTGTGAACAGCTTGACGTCATCTGTACTTTTTTCCCCTATGTATTCGCTATGTATTCACTTAAGTTGCTATTCCAACTACGCCCGGACGGGTAGGTGAGCTCAAGGGCTCAACCTGAATTTGCTAACACTAGCCCTAGCAAGAGCAGTGCTTCGCTGAATCTACCACCGGATCGGAATCGCGACCCACTAAGAAGATCTGACAAGAAACTCAGTGGGTTGTGACTATGGGTTAGTTCTCTCGTTGAACTCTTGTGTGAACGGTACTTGAGGGTCCTAAAAGCGCCAAAAGAGGATCCGGGAGATAAGACAATACATGTTTCGGGCAACGTCGGTTTTGCGTTGCCCCGTCTCGTTTGGATAAGACGTCTGTAAATTTTGGCCATAGTCATTTAAACAACTCACTCTGTGTCTCCGCTGGGACACTCATCAATGATCATTATCCCATATTCGTCGGCCAACTGGTATATTTCCTCAGCGTACGGATAATGCGATGTTCGGAACGCGTTCGCTCCGATCCATTTGATCAAGTTAAAGTTCTTCACCCACAAAACTGGGTCCCATCCTTTGCCTCTGAGCTGAACATCAAAAACAATAATTTCATTGAAAACTCCCTTGTGGTTTATATTGCCTTGTTGGCGAAATTACTTATAGTTGTAATGTATTCAAAGATATATTCTTATAGGCTCTGAACTTACATCCGAGTCTTCGTGCATCCCAAATCCCTTCAGATATAATGGTTTCGAATTCAAGTATATGGTTGTGTTTGTCCACGTGACCGTTCTAATACCGATCTTCTGACTGTAAGTGTCGATTATATCTCCGCGTCTACTTATTAGAGAAGCCTTGAACAAAAAACAGTACATTATTACGAGACGCGAACATGTCTTTGATGTCCGGTTTGTAAATATGTATATTATATATTATATGAATCATACAAAAACCGCACCAGTGTGCTTAGTGCTAGTTTTTAAAATTCTCGATTGCGTAAGAGTTAACTCAAATTTGTATGGAGTTGGAACAGCTTCCCTTCATTTGCCGCTAGGGACGCTGTTCTAACTCCATACAAATGTCATTTAACTTTAACGCGATCGAAAAGTTAAAAACCCATACTAAGCACACAGTACAATTTGTTAAAGAACGTTTTCGAAGTTGACTCAATTTGTTGCTCACCCTAAAAGTGTACAAGTATCCCGGCTCGGGGTTCATGAGGTAAGGCCACCAGAATCTAGCATTCGCTATTTCCAATAGACCGGCGCACTCGTTTGAGGCCACGACTTGTGTGTCCGACTTATCGAACACTTGAATGAGGCAGAGAACGTCTTCTGTGGTCGGCCCCTTGTGAGTTACGTTGTATACCACGAATCCTGTGAGGAACAAATGTATTTCGTCAAAACATTAAATAATTGAAACATTTATTGAAAAATTCTTCAAAAATATTGATCAAATTTTAATATATTTTTCAATGAGTTTCAATTCAATCAAACGCATTGTTATTGTCACTAAACACATGGTGAAAATCAGGATTTCTGAAAACAAATATCTTATAGGTAGTTATCAATTCTCACAGTCCATGCTCAATCGTTTCCTCACTCCTAGAGACTCACTTCTTTATTATTGACAGTTTGACGCATTCGTTGACAGAGCTGTGCTGCCTAATTCGATAAACAAAGGTTGCACAGCTCAATTCTCGTAATATCTGTCTTCTTTTATTTTAGCAACTCATTTATTTTTTATTGTAAAAATTTTTTTCGTGCCTAGCGTGTATTTTATGCGAGAGATCGTAGTTAAGAAACTGGATAAAAATGTTGCAGTAGTTAGAATGTAGTAGATAGTGCAATTTGGGTTCACGAATGCTCAAGATTGACATGTGTCTAATATATTGAAGATTGTGAGCATACGAGAATATTAATTGTCCTGCACGTCGGAAGCATACATTTACCTGTGAATCCTTGAATGTCGGTGTTAACAATAACATCGTCAATATAAACTTGAGGCGTTGAATATAAAAATACAGTCCTATGAATACCAGCGTAATTGAAAAAGTCAAACGTGTATGTCTGCTCCTGTCGCACCTTATCAAAACTGAAAAAAAAAATGTTCTCTATTTGTTGGCTGAATAAGATTATGGTTACCTAAATTAATCTCTTAACTAACACTTTGTAATTTGTTATATTCTGGTTTATTTAAGCTTTGGTAGTTGAAAACTTGCAAGGTTTTGACGCAGTAATTTTTTTAGAGCTTTGAAGATAGACTTTTAGACGAATATTGAAGTGAATTACTAAGGGACAAGGTTTTTGCATCGGGCCGATTCTGATTTCCGCTAATACTTCCATCATAGCTCATTCCTAAATTGGGCCCATTAATAAATAATCTGCTACCTCAGAAGGAAAATCAGCTTAGTTGAGGCCCACGAAGAAACAAACTAATACGGGGCCGTGGAGTGCAAAATAAGTCTTTAATCCTACTTCTGAAAAGAGCACTTTGTACAAGATTTTAAGGATAATGAGATCAAACACAGAATTAGTGCTTGAAGTAGATATTATTAATAGAGCTCCTGCAGATACAACTTAGTTAACATTCATTTAGTACTGTTATTTGATATCTTTGATTTGATTTAAAATTTTTGATGAAACAGCTAAACAGCACACTCTATGTGTGAAAGAGTGTCAAGTCTAAATATTGCTCTAAAAGTTATCAAATTTTTCAATTCCGTAAATTTCACTCGGTTGAAAACTGTAACATTCATTCACAATAATTGCTATGCTAGTTTTATTTTGATGAGTTTTTGAGTTGTAATTGCTGCTTACGGCTGGACACTATTTTAACTTGTCCCTTAAAGATCTTTTTATCGCTACCCTCCATAATTTACAAAATCCAGTGTTCCTTGTTTTGACAGAGGCTACTGGACTACAAATTACTAAAGACTACAAATACAAAAGTTCAATATGATAAGCTATCTAAAATTTAAAATTTTAATAAATAGGACCAAATCACCCACGGTCATCCGGCCTCAAATTGGGATTCCGTGTTATAGGTACCAGAGACTAGCATACATACTTATATAAGTTTTAAATATATATATTTATAGATAATAAGCATCCAGACAAAGAGCTAACAAACCTGTTCATCACACGAATGTTTGAACGTGGGAATCGAACCCACGACCAACGGTCAGGGGCGCTGACAACTGCATCATCGAGTCACTTAAAAATATACCATAACGAAAACATTTCAAATTGTTAGATAGTTACAATACCAAAGTGACTTTCCAATATGCAAATTTAAATATGTATTTGATTTTCAAAACACAAACATTAACCGAAACCACAAAATCTTTATTATCATGACGAAACCGAAGACGTGAAGGTGACTTACGATTTATCAAGATTATCGCTATATTGTATTATGGAACAAAAGAATCAGATGATAAATACATTTGATACATTCAAATTGGCTTTAAAAGATTTTTATTGCAAATCAATTGTTTTATCGGACGTCTTACGGATCATATCATAAAATGATTGAATTTGATTAAGTCTTAAGTTAAGTACAGATCTGTAAAGTCACTTTCATGTCGAGTGCTCTTCAAATTAGCTAAACCGATGTACTTACTCAATAATTTGTTTGACATATCCCTGTGGTACAGTATCGCTTAGTAGGGTGTTGTCGACCGCAACAGTGAGGAGATTGCTCGTATTGTAATTCACTACATCCGTGATCTCTACTTCGAACGGTAAGTGACCTATCTCGTGATATGTCACTGATTTGCCGTTTACAAACTGAAATGAAAATTAAACACTTATTATAATTAAATAATTATAGACTTATAAAAATATAGCCGTATTTATTTTGTATGAAAGAGTTTTCAAGACCATTTTGCAAGATTAAAAAAAAGTAATCTATCAATCAATTTGTTTTTGAGTACCCTACGGACAAAGTAATGCATAGGGTACCGATATTTGGAGGTTACATAAAACTTATTTTCATAGGGCACGTAATGGTAACGGAATGTCAAATAGACACGGATGCACGTTGTTTTATTATTGGTAGATGAGTTATAATTTTTATTTATTTACTAGCGACCCGCCCTCGCTTCGCTTCGGAAACATTAAAACACAAATGAAACCAAAAAAAAAAAAAAAAAAAAAAATAAANATAATAATAATATAATATAATATAATATTATAGTATAGAAGTATAGATATAGATGAGCATACTTAGACGTGTATACCAGGCCGCGCTCTGCTAAGAGTATGAACTATTAGCTAACCGTATTAAAAACATCGATTTCGAGGAAGTATTTGCGCGCCATCTATACTACTGCGACCTTCCTTGAAGTGTCAAAAACTACTGTGTGCTCAGTGCGAGTTTTTTAACTCCTCGATCGCGTAAAAGTTAACTTAATTTTGTATGGAGTTGGAATAAGTTTCCTTCCTTTGCCACTAGGAGCGCTTTTCCAACTCCATACAAATTTGAGTTAACTTTTACGGGATCGAGAAGCTAAAAAACTTCACACTAAATACACTGATGTAATCTTTCCTACCCTCCACGTGGGCCTACCGTGCACGTGCGCTTGATCGTCGAGAGCAATGCTCTACGGAGGACGATGTTGCGATGATAATTATCTTTGCGTAATTATATGCAATAAATTTCCATAAATAAAAATAAAATATGATGATGTCTTAGTGTTGATTGATTTCTTGTTTGAATATGTACATAATATACATTGAATTACCCAAGCCTGGGACTATGACGAATAGCTTGCTCTTTGTCTGGGTGTTTAATATCTATATAAGTATTTATTTAAAACATCTGATTTCTATAGTACAGGGAATCCTAGTTCGGGACTAAATGAATGATCCTGTGTAATTTGTCGTTTTATTCCCTGCCTAATCGTTGGTAGTTTAAGGGGCTATTCCAACTACTCACTGTGATAGGTGAGCTCACGCGCTCAACCTGAAAGAGCTTCTAACAAAGACCCAATCAAGGGCAGTGCTTCACTGAATCTATCACCGGATTGGAATCGCGATCCACTGAGAAGATACAACGAGAAACTCAGTGCTTGTGTCTATAGATTTGTCCCTGATTATTGTTTATAGCGGGTATAAGGTGGATGGGTGAATTCATGTTTTGTGATGTTTATGGACTCCGGTAACCACTTAACACTAGGTGGACCTTGAGCTGGTTCACCCATCTATGGAACAAAAAAAATTGTGAAACTATACGACGGAAAACCAATCGACTTAATTGCCTCGTCCTTTACTTGTTAAGAATTTATGATTTTAATATTCTGCGGTAATCTTCGTGTGTAAATTTAATTGTTGTACATTTGCAATTTTTGCAATATATTTGTTGTTTTAATTTTATTTGAGGCCAGAATAAATACAAGAAATGCAGTTTTAAAATTTAGAATATAACACTCATTTTTGTCGAATTGCAAACGTTCACTAAGGTAATTAATGGGAAACAGTCAAGTTTCAATTGAGATACATACAAGAAATAAAATACTGTGCTTGTAGCTGGCAGCAGAGCGTCTTGTGAGTCCACATGGGAAGGCACCACCACCCTGCCTATTTCTGCTGTGAAGCAGTATTGCCTTCCTGTTTGAAGGGTGGGGCAGCCGTTCTACTCTAGAATTGAGACTAGAATTCAAGGTGAGTGGTGCCATTTACATTATGGGCTCCGGTAGCTTCTTGACACTGGGTGGGCAATGAACTCGTTCACCGATCTAAGCCATAAAAATTATATATCCCTAGACAGGCGTATGAACTAACGGCCATTCTATTCTCACGAATGTGGTTATGTGCTAACCTACACCAACCATAGACACCGCAATGTAAATGTCCCCATCCGAAGTCGTTGTGACACCTAATGGTTAAAATTGCCAACGAAGATGCTTTTTTTTTTAATTACACACACGCATTACGCTCATTATACTGATGAATCAACTCCCAGCCGATGGGCCGATAAACTTTTTTTTTTATTGCTTAGTAGGATGGACGAGTTCACATCCCACCTGGTGTTAAGTGGTTACTGGAGCCCATAGACATCTACAACGAAAATGCGCCACCCACCTTGAGATATAAGTTCTAAGGTCTCAGTATAGTTACAACGGCTGCCCCGCCCTTCAAACCGAAACGCATTAGCGCTTCACGGCAGAAATAGGCGAGGTGGTGGTACCTACCCGTGCGGACTCACAAGAGGTTCTACCACCAGTAAACGAGATGTCGCGTAGAGTAATGCTTCTGTGCCGGTGCTTATATCAAAGGACAAGAATTACTTACTTCATATAGTCTGGTTAATTACGTGACAAAATTATAATCTAAGGCAATTATTCTAATGAACTGAATAAATTCAGTGTAGATTAAATTTTAATAGGATACAAACTTTTGGCTCTCGTAATAAATTCAAAATATTAAAGTACCTAATACCCTTTAAAAAAGAACTTTAAAGTATTTTAAATTGAGTGAACATAAATTACGTTAAAGTTTGCGCTCTCATCTAATGGTGTTAACAATTTTATCGGATTAATCCTGCTGCGAAGTGAATGAGACGTGTTTGTGTAGACACTACACTTAGCGATAAGTTAAAAGTCGATAAAGAACGCTCAGGAATGAACTTGCCATTTTCTTAATAGTTTTATTGCCTTTTTTTAAAATACTTATGAGCCAGTTTTGTAATCATTAATAAACAACTAATTAATCTGAAGATATGATCACTAGTGCATAGTTATTTATGTAATCGTGTTCGTGATTGGCAATTAATTAGTAGCTAAAGAGAAGCGAAACTAACGATGTTCGATAAATAATTTGCATACTTTAATTGACTAGCATATACATATCCTGAAGTTACATTAAAATTATATTAGCTAATAAGGATTTCTACAATTACTAAAAAAAAAAAACTGTTTCCGGGAAGGTGCTCTTTGGGTTCAACGTCGCAGTCGTCAAATTTTAAACATGAAAGAACTGACTGTGAAGTTTAATAGACAAAGACGAGTGGTAACAGACGGAATAATCATTCAAATCAAATAAACGACCGCTCAGTTTGAATAAATTTTCAAATAATTACGGACTTACTGCTAACCGCTGATGATTTCAAGTCGGCTTTTGTTTTTATGTTTGAGGGATTACTGGTGGCCCGGAGGCCTTTCCAGTTTCACCAGGACAGGTGGGCGAGCAAAGACTCAGCCAGGAGGGCTGTGATTTGCTCAAAGTTGCTCGAGTATCTCCAAGAAGACCTAACGACTTAAGAGCAGCTGCTTCGCGAATTAATCTACTACCGGATCGGAATCGCGGCCGGCTGCGAAGTTCCGGCGGGAAACTCAACGGGCTGATGCATGGGTTAGGTTACACGTCGAATTATTTGTAGAGTTCGACGAGTACGGTTATCGGGGTTCCTAAGCCTGCTCCTAGTGTTGGCTTTTGTATATTTTTTTAAAAAATTTTTACTCTATGGCAATGCTTGGTGCTGGTATCCCGTTCAATTAGACGCGCAGTCACCGAGCAAATTGGCAGGAAATTTAAAATTTGAAAAAGAATCTGAGGCGCAATATTATGAACTGTAAGCTGAGAGATACATTTTTTATTATTTGTGTTATCTTTGAATATGATAATAATTAATTAGTTGTAATATTTAAGTTATGACTTAGTAAAACATTGTCTGTTTTCACTGACGCGGACGGTGGTCTAAAAATATTGTTAGTTTTATAAATCTAGCTTATTAGGTTAATTATCATCTTAAAGACGTTTAGAGGTCAATTTACATGTTTGAACAAAGACTCATCACAAAGTATCTACGCTAAATTGTAAAAAATATACTCAATATCGTTATACACATATAAATGACGCCTCAGATAAAAGCATGTATATAGGTGGATATTAGTCCGGAAAGTGCCAAAAAATAGGATCATAAAAGAAAACATTTGACGTTCAGTACAAATTTAATTTCTATGTAATAATTTAAGTACAATAAATTCGCGGGCAAAAATAATTTAAATGATTTTGAATATTTTTTTCTGTCTTATTAAAAGTAAAAACGTATGTATGATGAATAACTTAAAAAATAATTATTTTGAAATCTTTCGGTTCCAGTTTCATTCATTAGAGGTTTGTCGTTATAATATTTTGAATTGATTACAATTGGTAAAGGCTTGAGTTTTATTTTATTTTATTGCCCTTGTAAGCAGACGAACATATGGCCCACTTGATGGTGAGTGGTTACCGTCGCCCATGGACTTCAGCAATGCCAGGGGCAGAGCCAAGCCGATGCCTACCGCTTCATACTCTCCACAAGCCTCGTTTGAAGGACATGTCATAGCGCTAGGGAGAGACCGTGGCCCCTCCACTTAGCTTATTCCATAGCCGGATGGTACGTGCTAAAAAAGACCTCTGGAAACGCACTGTGGATGACCGCAGTGGCTCACGGTAGTATGGATAAACTCTACTCCGGTGGCGGGCGGTGCGATGGTAAAAACGAGATGATGGTATCATCTCAAACAATTCCTCAGAGCATTCCCCATGGAATGAGCATGAAGATTTCACTGATTGTCAGTCTGACCTTAAATAAATGAATTAGAAGATTGTCCCCTAAAGACATGTCATCATCATCAGATCATTACATTTTGAAATTATTTTACAGAATACGATGATTTACAAAATGTAGGTCAGGCCCTAAAGCTGATCGATTACTCGATACACGATTACATATATTACAATTTCGTAAGTTGGTCTCGTAAGATGGTAAACAGGCACAAAACTGTGTTTTGTCGGCCCAATCTGAACTAAATCAAAATAATTTCTTTTCGAGAAACAATGAATTTAAGCGACAAATATTGAAAGAGATTCGACTGACATTAAATTAATAAGAAGTTGATTGAGTAATGCTAGTTGACTGAGGTCAGTGATTCACGTCGACAAACATTTTGTCGCCATTCAAAATTGACACCATTAAAAACAGACTAAGTGACAATACTCTGTTTTTTTTTTACTGCCCTTGTAGGCAGACGAGCATACGGCCCATTTCATTTGCACATATTTATGTATCATATTATTATTTACTAACACTATTAATTTAATTCAAGAGAATAATAATGGACGTAATTATATAATATCATTAAACGGCTCTAACTACTTTTGTTTAACAAGTGCTTGGAACATACACATAGAAACAAAGAGAGAGTACACTAAAGCTTATGAAAAAATCATTAACAAAAATATTCTTATCTGTAATAGAGCGGTTTAGTAGTAGTAGTCGTACTATGTAGTAATAATAAACTATAACAATAACAATAAACTCATTTCATTTCGACTTTGAACCTATATTAGCTCGACAAAGAATTACATTTCCACCTTTACTGCTAAAACACTTCCTAGTAATTTTATTTGCTACGTAACGTTCATACGAAGCACGATTTTGTTTTTAATTATGAGATCATAGGTAATGTTTGTATTCAGAGGATCATATATTTGATTGTCTGTAAAGAAAGACCGTAAATTAATTTCCGATCGAAATCAAACGACAATGATTTATATTCATGTTCAAATGATAATCTCTATATATAAAAATGAATTGCTGTTCGTTAGTCTCGCTAAAACTCGAGAACGGCTGGACCAATTCGGCTAATTTTGGTCTTGAATTATTTGTGGAAGTCCAGAGAAGGTTTAAAAGGTAGATAAATGAATGAAAATGTTCGGAATTAAATAAAAATAACAATTTTGTTTTTTCTTTGATGTGTCCCCTGTCGGACGGATTCGTTTTGTTTGTTTTAAGTTTATTTTATAGGTCTTTTGTTTATCGATTGAGGCACTAAGAATTCTGCCGAGTCAACTAGTCACTGATATATAAATTCAAAGATATAATTTAATTAGTAAATATAAGGATTTGTTTCGTTTAAAAAACTTTCTTAGCGTACTGAATATTAAGTCCGATAAGTGTTCGTCTTCTTGGGTAATTTTCAATCCGCTCGGTGGAACAACGCTACTCGTGTGCTTAGTGCGAGTTTTTTAACGTTCTCGATAGCGTAAAAGTTAACCCAATTTTGTATGCAGTTGGAACAGCACCCCTAACGGCAAACGTAGGCAAACGATCCCATTCCATACAAATATGAGTTAACTTTTACGCTATCGAGAACGTTAAAAAACCCGCACCAAGCACGCTGTTCATTACAAAATGAACTTGAAACGATCCGAATCTAAATTCCCACAAGTGGTTAGGTCGAACCAGTGCTCACTCACGACTCGGGACCGGTGTCGTTCGACAAATTGTTCAATTACAATCAGGCAGATTGCCTAGCGACAGACACCGCATTCGCCGATTTATTATACCCTTTCCTCCTAACGTAGGGTCTAGTGTATAAGATGCACCTCTATTTAAATTGAATTAAAACTAATCTGTGTGGGGTTTGCTTTAATCTGTAGTTCTTCATTCCACAAAGGTGCAAACTGGTTTGAGTATTGCTATTTTTCATTTAAAAAAAATACCGAATCGAAACGCCAGGAACATTGGCAGCCCTACGCTAGTACTGTCTTCATAGTTCATTGCGATTTCACCCGCCAGAAATAGTATCATGTTTCTTGCATGTAAATTTGTACCTCATTCGTATGAAATCTGATAAGTAAGTATTTCACCTAGATGTGACTGCGGAATAACTTACGTTTTATTACTTTCATTGACTTAGGTTTCATATCCGGGATGCAAAATAGTACACACCTATTGTGTCATATAAAGTAAGTATACGTATGTATGTATATGTGTGTATATGTATTGTTTTGTATCTTGTAATATGTATATATTATTATATATAATGTTTACTATATGCACTAGGTTTGTGTTCCTAATTCTTCTTTCCTTCTGCGGGCCTACTAGAAGAGATTTCAACATGAAATAAGTAGTGCCCTTGTACTCTGTATCCTTATTGTCGTGTTTCTTCTAACAGCTGTGTGTTCAAAATATATTGAATAAATAAATAAATGAAATTTTCATCTCACATTTCAGATCACGCCGGCTTCAACGAAATCATTGTTCCTAGATCATTCGAAATATTTATATAAATTGTTCTTAAATCATTCAAAATTTGGTTTGTTCAAACTGGATGTATTCAATGTTATAATAATACATGCTACTTAAAAATGACTGTCAGTCGAACCAAATAAATATTTGTAGTACAAACACAATTTGTGAAGTGTTTAATATTCTTGACATTTGACATTCTTTGACTTGAACATGTAGAAGGATACGCGATGTCTAAAGATGATGTAACGAGCAAGAACACCGTTTATATTATGTTAATCGTGTGAATTTCGTTTTTTATATCGCCCTCGTTCTCGGTAAGAACACCATTGTGCTATGGGAATAGGTTATTTTCTTCTTTTTTTTTTTTTTTTTTTTTTTTTTCGTGACAGATATGACTTAAGCATCATGAATAATTAATGATTTAAATTTGAAAATTAACTTTAAATTATGAAAACGAACCTTTAATTGGTTCGAAGTATAATTAAATGTGAATGAATGATTTTTGTGCTTTAGATAAGAAACGAATCACGTTCCAGCCGGTTTTTATTTTACAAAGTGAATGGCCTACATGCCTACCTACATTTAGACACGAGGGCGAAGTATTAATGATATTCTAATGCTTGAAGTATTTTAATGTCCCATCCTCGAAACCGGATCATATCGCCGTTTCACTGCAGGAATGGGTACTGTGCCATAAGCGTAGTCTGGAGAAGCCAGAAATGGAGTGTAGTTATTAAAAACAATTAGGTGTTTTTTTATTGCTTAGATGGGTAGACGAATTCACAGCCCACCTGGGGTTAAGTGGTTACTGGAGCCCATAGACATCTACGTCGTAAATGCGCCACCCACCTTGAGATATAAGTTCTAAGGTCTCAAGTATAGTTGTAACGGCTGCCCCACCCTTTAAACCGAAACGCATTACTGCTTCACGCCGGTCATCGTTCCCGTCGAACCCGTCGCTTGCGACGAAGAGCCCGACGAGTAAATTAACCCTCAGATACAGCCCACTGAGTTTCTCGCCCGATCTTCTCAGTGGGTCGCGTTTACGATCCGGCGGTAGGTTCTGCGAAGCACGGCTCTTGCTAGGGTTTATGTTAGCAACGTCGTCAGGTTTGATCCCCGTGAGCTCACCTACTAGTTAAGGTTCCGCTGACATAGCCTCTCAAGGCTATCAGCTTAGGTAGGAGGAAAAAAAACTGCTTCACGGCAGAAATAGCCACCTACACGTGCGGACACACAAGAGGTCCTTAGGTAAAAAAAAAACTCTTCTTTGTTGTTATATACATACGATTTTTTTTAAATCACACTTTAAATAATGTATGTATAGCAATACCAAATCGATGTCCACAGATTATAATCGTTTTGACAGACCGAACCAAATTGATTTCGATTTTTTATAAAAGTATAACAAAAAGTATAAGGCCATACATAACATATTTATAATTTTGTAAGCTCCTTAGTATGTACGCATAAAAACTTAACATGTCCTAAACTAGTTAGACGCTTACCTTATGCTATATTGACTTAGTTACTAATACGGATGTTGTCGAGCTAAATACACTTTTTACGTAGATATGCAATTATAACAAATTCAACTACATTAATGATTTTTTTTTAAATAGCATACCTAATAATCTAATTGGCAGAATCTGAACAAAAACGTATACAAAAAAGCATTAATTACCACTTCGGCGGCATAGTGAACGCTGCTGAATCTCAGCCAGACCCGTTGTTTCGCCGTCTGCCACCACGGCGGAACGTGGAACCTCCTGTCGTACCACACTAAGCCTACATGGTCCCGAAGAGAGGCATCCTCACCCACGTCATTATATGAAGAAGGCACAGGCATGTGTATCACAGAGCCTGTCTAAAAGAAAAAAAAGTGTTTTTAAATTATTATTTTTTATTTATTTATATTACTTGTTTAGGTGGACGAGCTCACAGCCCATAGACATCTACAACGTAAATGCGCCACCCACCTTGAGATATCTCTAAGGTCTCAGTTTAGTTACAACGGCTGCCCCGCCCTTCAAGCCGAAACGCATTACTGCTTCACGGCAGAAATAGGCAGGGCGGTGGTTCCTACCCATGCGGACTCACAAGAGGTCCTACCACCAGTAATAAATTTATTGATATTGTTCGAGCTGTGCTTTATAATTAAAAAAAAAGCTACCTTTTCAAGATCTTGCGCATACCAGCCATTTCTATAGCCGAATTCTGGGTCGGCAGGCGATGGCCGAAAACTCCATATCCCATCTAGGGTTCTTAAGTCCCTGGTTTCTGTAGCACGTGGGTACAATGCGCCTCCGTTGCTTGGTAATTTTCTTTTATACAATTGGTTGATTTCATTTGAGCTAGACGACAGCGGCACCACTGCTATCGTCACGGACACTATGCATATTAGCAGAAGCGCGAAAGCAAATCTCGGCTTTATCATCTGAAAAGAAAAAAAAACAATAGGTTATATACACTTTAAACTGTTTTAAAAGAATCGTGAAGGAACACTACTTATCTGCTTAGTGTTGTTTGTTGCATCATTATCATTTATCATTTCCATTATGATTTATTATGTGTGTGTATGTATATTAGTATGTATTGTATATATGTATATTGGTATATATTACATGTAAACGGTATATATCTGTTTATTATATGTATATATTTTCTATGATAATGTATTGTCTATGGTACACCGCAACATACCTGCTATATTTTTATATTTTACAGAATTTCTGTAAATTAAACGGTTGTCTGGAAGAGATCGCTTTTAGCGATAAGACCGCCTATTGTACAAATGTATGTGCTTTTTGACTGTTTTTTTGAATGTAAATTGTGTTGGTGTGCAATAAAGTGTATTCTCTCTCTCTCTCTCTCTCTCTCTCTCTCTCTCTACACTATACATACAACATTACATACAATAAGGTGTATTTATTATAGTTTTTACACACAATCACGACAGGATGGTGGTTACTTTCAATCAAGAAAATATATTAATGCCAGGGCCAGAGCAAATACCATAGTTCAAGTCAGAGCTGGAATATAAAACTGTTTAAAATCATCTCACGAAATGTACTAGGCCAACAGTTTCTTTATTTATGGTTGGTTCAGTTTTATTCGAATGCATGTTTTATTTTTATTTACACTTCCATGTAAACATGTGATGAGATAAAGAAATGTGACGAAAAAAAAACGAATTAGTTGTGTAGTCGATTGACGAAACGACATGTTTATATCGTTTGAAATAATGTATCGTCTTTATCTTTTGTAGCAACAGAGTACGTTGTAATATATACATGCAAAGGAGGAATTTGTGGTTCAGGTCCGAATTGTTTTCATTATTTTTTATGTTACCTACGAAGGCAAAGTGTAAGGACATCAGTAATGACACAGACAAGCTACTGCCTACCCCACAGATCTCCTTTCAAACCTTCCTTTGAAGGATTTGTCATAGCGCTTAAAAAACACCGTGGAGAGGAGCTATGTAATTCCAAAGCCGTGCGTGTGTGGTCAGAAATATTTCTACGGACGAACTGAGGTTCAGATCGTAATGACAAGGATAATGGGACAGGGCACGTAGCAATACCACTCCGATAAGGAAATTACCAAATGCGTATTGTATTACAAATGTAAGATTTTGAAGAAAGACAAGTAAAGCATGAAAATTTTAGTATAAAGAAAACTGACTTCGTCGAAATAAAATGAGAATACTATCAATGTAGTACTAGTCAATTAAATAAACAATATTTTTAAGAATCGCCCAAAAAGTATTGGTCGATTTTAAATGGGAACACAGGAGAAGCACAGAATTTGAAAAAAAAAAAGAGTCATTAAATCTCTTAACCTACGAAAATGTTTCGCGGTAACGCACATGAAGCATTTTATCGTGTTACTTTTCTATCATTAATTAAACTAGTGAAAATTGATTTGGTTTCATAAGGAAAATTAGCTTTAGCTTTAATTTATGGTCCGCCTTCGGTCTCCTCGATCGAATACTATGCAATTTAACCATCATCCGGCCCAAGTAGACATAAAGAAAGAGACAGAAAATTCCCATCTCATTTTCTATCAAAGTTTTATCCAAATCCCTATATTGAATACTGTTTTGTTATGAATTGCGATCTCAAACTTATGTCTGAGGATACCTTAATCGTAAGTCATAAGTTGTACCGGCTATCGATGCTACAAAATACTAATATTCACGAAAAATTTGTAAAAACTACAAAGAAAAATCACATCACACACAAATATCACCGATACTGTTTAAGATTATTAGTACTGCAAAATAAATATTTCCGACTCAATGGTACAGTTAATCTACTGCAATCACCAAATGGTAAACGTAGACTAACTTGGCCTGACTACATATAGGCACTCCAAACATCAGAAAAAGATTTTTTTTGTTTTACTACGATTTTCATAATTCATTTTGGGAAATGCTTGTTCGGTTGGAATTTTTTATTTGATTTTAAAGCACTTTATTTTATTACTTTTATTTCATTTTAGTGAACTAGATTTTATTTGACACTGAAAATAACACAGAATTATTTGACATTTCACGGGTAGAAAAAGCATTTTTTTTTTATTCGCTAAAAGCATTAAGGGATAAAATTAATTCCTTTAGTAGAATAGTACCCATTTTTTTAGTTGATTAGGTAATTGTTTTCTTTCATATTTTTTTTGTTTTTATTACAGAGATGGGTGAGCGATCATACGGCCCTCTTGAGGTTAAGCGGTCGCCTAAGCTCATAGACATCAAAATGCAAATGCCGATTTGAAAGCCTCAATTGTAGTATAGTGTCCCAACCTTCAAATATGAACAGAGGACAAGAAATAGACACGACGATGCTACCTACCCTTGTGGGCTTAAATTACGCCTTACTACCAGTATATCGGTATTATTATTGATCGTGTTTCCATTTGTACAATCGCCAGCGCGAAGTCGAAGCCACCAAATTCTTCGAGAGTACTGTACTTGACTTGGACTGATGTGACAGAGTAAGCGCAAATCAGGGTGAAGTGAAAACAGCTCGTGAGGGTCCTATGTACCAGCAGGATACCCTAGGTCTACAACAGAACTGTACCTCTTGAGGTACCTCAATCACATTATGGTGTGATTCAGGTAAGAGCGCCGGCAGGCTGGTGAGCAATTCTTTATTTTTATTGCTTATATGGGTGGATGAGCCCACAGCCCACCTGGTGTTAAGTGGTTACTGGAGCCCATAGACATCTACGACGTAAATGCGCCACCCACCTTGAGATATAAGTTCTAAGGTCTCAAGTATAGTTACGACGGCTGTCCCACCCTTCAAACCGAAACGCACTACTGCTTCACGGCAGAAATAGGTGGGGTGGTAGTACCTACCCGCGCGGACTCACAAGAGGTCAGTAAAGGTCCCACCAGTAAAGGTCCCACCACCAGTAACTCACCAGTAATTCACTGAGCATCTGTTCATCTACTTTACTGAAATGTAATCTAGTCATCGTACCTTTCTTTTTAAAACGTAAATAATATGGTATTTACGATGTATAATCGACAAATTGAAAATACGAGATTTACTTCGTTGTTCTTGCATTTTGTATTATTATTATTATATTGTAAACTATTTTATTTTATTCACTTTAGTTTGCTAACGAAACGCTTTGTTTGATGTCCAAGGAAGACTAATCGTCATGCTTTTTACTCAGTTGTACTTTTATCACACAATTTACTGGTACATGTACTAGATGTTATCAATTGTTTTCATAATAATATGATAACAACGAATACAGTAAATCAGTTACGACCTTTTACTAAATTAGATTTTCTGTTTCACGCAAAAGAATTGCGAAAATAATTATCTTCTGGATATTGTCTTTTTTTTTAAGTCGGTAAGAGAGATTTTGACAAGCTCCCAATTAATTTATCTATTCTGATTTAAAAAACGGAGCACATCACTATTATTTGTTGTGTCGACTCACAAAATGGGATATCGTTATGAGTAAGTTATGCGGATTTCAAACCGGAAATTTTAGTACATAATAATGTATCTTCGTCGTTAAAGTTGATTATGAACAGTGTATATGAAATTATCTAGAAGTATAGAAAAACACAAAGGCGAATTTTTTTTCTTGATACGAATTTATCAGTACTAGTTGCCCCGCAGTAGTCGAGATTCGACTTTAATTAATTGAAATTATAAGTTGAAACATTATTATGGTTCTATTGTTAAACACTATTTATATTTCGATAATATAATCACAGTATTCGTCAAAACTGCACTATAGATCAATAATATTCAAGACAAACGCTATTATACAAACAAAATCGATTTATTTTCAATTCGACCACAGACTTTAAACAATAACAAAACTTTCCCAATTGACAGTAAACAAAGAGTATATTTTTATGTATGTGTTGTGTCAAATACATGGTAGTGTGTGTAATGTTTTCTTTATTGATTTAAAGTATCTAATATGCATTATTTTAAAAAAAATATTAGCATTGTGCACTTCTTCTCTATATTCTTTATAAGTGTGAGAAATTTCATACTCCTCCGTCCGCGCAATTTTCGTAAAAAGGGGTACAAAGTTTTTGCTTCACGTATTAATATATAGATATCATCCTTATTAACATCGGGCTTAACATGTTAATAATACATTTCCCGAAACACAACTATGTTTCGCCGCCGCACCGTGACTTTAGCTAAATTGAAAAAAACACATTCATTCATCCATCAGTTGAAGGTTTCCAAGAAAACTTCCTCGGGTTGTCAACGGCCATACAAAGCTTCTACTCAATCGGATAAATAAAGCACGTCAATATTAAACATCAACAAACAAACCCGTATTCATTAAATGCAGTATATTATTATATTAAGTAAATATTTATTATTCATTGTGGAAGTCGTACGTGATATGGGATTTTAACTTCGGCAAAATCGAAATGTTCCCTCATCATTATATTAAATTAACAATCATTAATATTAGTGGCTGAATGCCTACATTTTACATTCTAAGGCTATGTATAAATATGTATGTACTCTATGAATATTTCTTACTAGCGGACCCCCCCGCTTCGCTTGGAAAGTAGCGTACGCGATCTAAAGAATTTTAGGTAATTTAGTTACACATTGGATTACATTATTGGAGTTTCAGTAAGAACCCCAATTTTTTTTTAAATATAATAAATATAGCCTATGTCACCCGGGGATAGCGTAGCTTTCCAACAGTGAAAGAATTTTTTAAATCGGTTCAGTAGTTTCGGAGCCTATTCAATACAAACAAACAAACAAATCTTTCCTCTTTATAATATTAGTATAGATGTCGTATACATATACCGAAGTGACCTCTATACAATATCAATCCGCAAATAAAACGAGCAATGTCCTAAGTTAGCAAAAAAAACTGGTTTGTACGCATGAGGCGTGCTCGCCAAACAATTCTGGTACTGGCTCCGGC